TAGACTTCCCTCTATGTGTCTCTCCCGCTGGTCTGCAAGCCATGGCTCACCCAGATGGGGAGCTGGCCACTGCGCGTGCCTGCGCAAAGCGCCGTGTTCACATGGGTGTCTCCTCGTTTGCGAACCACTCGGTAGAGGACATTCGCGCAACTGGGCTTGCCGTCGGGCCCTTGACGAACGCCATACAGCTATACACAATGCAAGACAAGGAGATGCAGCTGCGTATCATCCATCGTGCCGAAGCCGCTGGCTGCAAAGCTATCTTCTTGACGGCTGATAGCCCTGTACTTGGAGTAAGATATAATGAAGTCCACAATGACTTCCGGACGCCGGATGGCTTGAATTTCCCTATGTTGGAGAAGACGTCTGAGATGATCCGTTCGCAAACTCATGACGACGGCTTTACCGCGTTCAATTCTGACTCGCATTCGTGGGAGAAAGAGATACCATGGCTTCGCAAGCACAGCAAGATGGAGATTTGGATAAAGGGAGTCCTGACTGCTGAAGATGTGCATCTCGCTGTACAGTACGGCTGCGATGGTATCATTGTGAGCAATCATGGTGGCAGACAGCTCGATGAAACGCCCGCGACTGCCGACGTCTTGCTAGAGTGCGCCAAAGCAGCCAACGGCAAGATTCGAATTCACGTCGATGGCGGTATCAGGACCGGGACCGATATTTTCAAGGCGCTGGCTCTTGGCGCTCAGTGTGTGTGGATTGGACGACCGATGATCTGGGGTTTGGCAGTAAGTGCTCTCTTTCTATTATCAGACTTGACTATCTCTAAATTATGCGTTTAGTACAACGGCGAAGCTGGGGTCACTAAGACGTTGGATATTCTTTACGAAGAGTTCAAGCGATGTATGCAGCTGACGGGCTGCAATACTATCGCCGATATTTCTCTTGCATCTATCGGCGCTGTTCGGTTTGATGGGCCTCTGGCCAGACTTTAGTTGTGACGGTAGTTCCGGCACTTTTCAGTCTACACATATTGCTATCTGAAATCATTCCAGGCTATACCTTTTGCAATTGTTCATTTGATATGATAGCCATCTCAAGTTCTCGGCGTTGAAACAGCTTTTGTTTCTGATGTCTCATTTCTATGTCCTATGTCAAGGTCTATTCATCCAAAGTGTCCGGGTTAAAGTAAAAGCTGAATAATGATGAAGAGAGGATGATTAATTCTCAACATCCTTTACCGTCGACGGGGCTATTATCGAGATTTAAAAGACAAGACGAATGGGTCGGATTGCCCAGAGGTTGTTAAATCTGGCCATGATCTAACATGGGTAATTATGGTAAGGCGCTTTAGTGTCCAAATTGTCAAAGAATGATTGGGGGTGCAAACAAACGTCGTCCTCCTTCTCGGTCTAACTGCCAATCACATTCGATGACATGCAGATAGCTGTCGGAGACTTGTTTAGGTGCGTGTAAGACAGCTTGAAGAGTGTGTTTCCCAAACGATCTATATGTTGCAAGGGAGATTACGTGTATCCTTAATTTCTGACAATCGCAGTGAGAGACACTTCGGGTATTTTAGTCAATCGGCCACCCGTCGTTGCTTGTTTGTCAAGGCCCGACGCCGTTCAGCGTAGAAAAGTCTCCGCCGATTACGAGAGTTGTCCCGAGCCGAGCGAAAGTTGCCGGACTAGTGGATACGCGTTTTGTGTCCAGCCTCCGCAGAGCCCGGAAGAGAAACATAAGCAGTAGCAACGCTTTGACAATTTGTCTTTATGCAATGTGGGTATATAACTAACGTGTTGTCCCTCTAAATTCAAAACCTTCTATGCTCGTATTCAACTACTTCTTCGGCTCCGTATTATAACTACGATGGCCTCTAGATTATTTAACCCAGTGGCCGATGGCAGTATCGGTCTCCTACGTATATTATTTGCTGGGGTATGATTCCCAACTAACTCTAGCGGCAAAGTTGCTAACAATCAATCCTCTAGGTTGTCACATATATCATAGCAAAGATCATACATGAATTCTTCTTGCATCCGCTACGCAAATACCCGGGGCCTCTATTATCTAGATTTACGAGGGTTCCATACTGGATTGCCAACTTAACGGGCAACCAGGTCCAACACATGCAGCAGCTGCATTCGCGGTACGGGCCAATAGTGCGTTATGGCCCCAATGATATGAGTTACACCGATAGTCAGGCATGGAAGGATATCTACGGCCACAAGAAAGACAAACATGACAATCCAAAGGACCGACGCTTCTATCCTCAACCAGATTCGGGGGTCCATTCCTTAATCACAGCGAGTAAAGAGGACCACGCCCGTGTGCGACGAATGTTCGCGCTCGCCTTCTCAGATCGCGGCCTCAAGCAGCAGGAACCTCTATTCCGCAAGTACGCCGACCTTATGGTGTTAAAGCTTCGCGAGTTTTCTGCCACGGAGCAGGATCTGGTCAAGATCCTTAACTTCACTACCTTTGATATCATGGCTGAGTTGACATTCGGTGAGCCTCTCGGCCTGCTCGAGGGATCGAAGTACTCACCGTGGGTTGCCAACATCTTCCAAGCAATCAAGGCTGGTCCAATGGTCCAGATGGGACTCTACTACCCGCTCTTGGGCTATTTATTGAAGTCTCTGGCACCGAAGAAGCTCCAGGAGATGCGTCGATCGCACGCGCAACACACAATCAGCCGTGTCGACCAGCGTCTCGCCCGGGGATCCACACAGCCCGACCTCTGGAATCTGGTTGTGACCGACGAAGGCGAGAAGAAGCTCTCACTGCAAGAGATGTACAATAACGCCGACGTGTTCATGCTTGCGGGCACCGAGACGACCGCCACGCTGCTCTCGGGCCTAACTTTTTATCTTCTCACCAACCCGGAGAAAATGCGAGTACTAGTTGAAGAGATCCGAGGAGCGTTTGGCAGCACCGAAGAAATGGTGTTTGATCGTCTGGCAAGCTTAAAGTATCTTCATGCCTGCATCCAGGAAGGCCTGCGCATGTATCCTCCAGTTCCCTCGTCGCTATCGCGAGTTGCGCCAGAACAAGGGACTATCATATGCGATGGATTTGTTCCTAGTGGTGTAAGTGTTACCATAGAGTGTTCCAAGAATTAGACCACGTGGAGGTTGAGTTCGAGACTGACACCGCGCATAGACAAGCATTTCAGTCCACCACACGGCAACATATAGAAGCCCGAAAAACTTTCGCAATCCAAACGATTTCGTTCCAGAGCGGTGGCTAGGCGCTGAGGAGTACGCAGACGATCTGCATGAGGCTCTCCAGCCATTCCATCTTGGACCCCGAAACTGTCTCGGCCAAAAGTAAGTTAAATACTCTTGCATGAAACGCACGTTGTGCAACAAAGCTAAATATAATTTCAGTATGGCATGGCATGAGATGAGGCTACTTCTCGCTCAATTGCTTTACAACTTTGATTTGGAGCTCTGTGAAGAGAGCAAGGACTGGTCAGATCAGAAGGTGTTCGTGCTGTGGGAGAAGAAGCCACTACTCTGCAAATTAAAGCCGGTCAAATTATAGACTCGAGCTTGCGAAAAGACTCTGATACATTAGCTTTCATCGATTCCAGTTAGCCTCTCCGCCTATTGCTAGCATAGATACAATGATCAGCTCAACTCTCAACAATGGGAAATGTAGCTTTAAGACCAGCGAATAGTTACAGGGAAAATCCCTATTACTTAAAGGATTCTACTATCGAACCACTACATCTGGCTAGTCAACCATCTCTGCGTATACTAGGAGTTACTTTTATACAGCAAAGAAGAAGTTAGATTCTATCAAAATTAATGCTCATAGAAATGTATACAGTAGTTAGCTCTATCTATTTTTCTCAAGTAAGAATAACCAAATTGCATATAATATTGATAATTCTTTTTTTCTTCCATATTTTGGGGCCCCTGGCCCCGAGACCCCCTGGAACATGGCCAGAGCACCTGGACAGGTGGTTCACTAGCCAGATGTGGTGATTCAAGCAAAAACATACTTGAATGAGCTAAGGCTTGAGCAGGGGGCGAGCTCACTAAACTACGTATGGTATAGATCTGCCTGTTGCTATTATTGACCCGCGTCATCAAAACATTGCTCGTCGCGACGTAAACCTGCTGAGAGGGAATTGAGTCTCAAGGAGAATGACATTGATAATAGCATATCGCTTGCTGAAACAATTTGTTTTACGTACTTGTTTTTCTAGGTGCCGTATCTATTAGTATTGGGCAAATTCGTGTTAGGAAAGAAGGTTGCTGAGATAGGGATGACCATGACCGTACAGTCACTCACATTTGATGATACATATAATTCGTAAAACACTGCTTGATATAGTCCTCAAACTCAATTTTAATACTATTGAAGACTTTGATATTTTACGTGCTTTAATAACTAAGAACACCAGTCAACTAAAATAACGGTATCTGCATTACGGGGAAGATGTTCAGTGTCCGAAGTCTGTGTATAGGGTAGGCTATCTATAGGACGTGGCTTGGGCCATCACATATGTTGTTCCTTTGTCCACCTACTAAGTGATGTTCACTGAAAAAAGCTAGGCTTGGCGAGTGGACATCGCATTGAGAAATGGTGGACAGTATTTTACGAGTATTTCAGCTGTTGTTGCTATTAGACAGTTCTGGCTGGTCTTTGCTTGCGGAGGCAGGTGATTCGCTTGTGCCGCACGTGTCGTGAACGCGTCAAATTTAATTTACTCTAGAGAGGATCAGGTTAGGGGATCCTAGACAAAATAGCAATCTTTATTTTATAGCCTTAAAGTCTTCTACAGCCCAGCATTGACCTCTTTCCTGGTGTTTATTCTTGACATCCTGACCGCGTATTTCCATCAAAGTCCAACCACTCACCACAGGGGAGCTCGTTGCAAGTTCCCCTCCAGCGAAGATTCAAGTTCTGTGTGAAGGTCGTGCCGAGCCTTCCCCTTAGTTTTGTTCGAACAGTGACAGAGGGTGGTCCACCACTCAACAAGACGCAGCCGGATGCCAGGGCCATTGTCGTATTAACAGCTCGATGCACTATGTCTAAGTGGGGAGTGAGCTTGACAGTAGTGAAACGAACCTTTTTAGATAATTGTATTAGCTTCAATAGGCCTTCTATACCTTTACTAACGGCTAAGAAAGGCAGTCAAGTTGGAGCACACATACCGGGGCAGGGCTGGTGTCCCAGGCCAAAAGCGTGTCCAGTTCTGCGTCGGCGTCCCCAGTAACGTCAATGTCTGTCACAAACATCCGATCGTTTTTAGGGTCATGAGATAGCTCGACATGGATTGTACAGATATGCTCGTCGACGAAACCCGTGTTAGAGCTTAACGTGGAGGTATCATACGTGAGGGCTAAATTGCCGGCCAATATGTTCGCAGAAACATTGAAGGGACAGGGAAGAGAGCGAAAGCCGACGATCTCCACAGAGGGTGCTGTGTACGCGACCGTGCTGAGAAAAGCTAGGACAAACAGATAGCGCTGCATATCTTGTAAGTAGAGAGGCTCCGGGATATGTGATTGTGATACTTGGTATGCTTCCGGCCCCTTCGACCATATAGAGGGAGTAGATTCCAAATATATGTCGCGCTTCAAAATCTCCTTCGGGGGCACAGGCTAGAGAACTGGATGACTGGTGGGCACGTAAAATTGGCGATGAAAAGGCGAAGTCGCATCGATGCATTTAGCCACAGATGCAATCACTACTCCTTCGAGGCCGGGATGTAGATCTCCTTAGCTTGAAATGAGTTGCTGCGTTGAAATTGGCCATTCAAGAGTTAGGTTTGTTCGTATGCTTCATACTTCTATCTTACTTTATCTATGCAACATGCATCGTTGTCCTTCGTTTCCGGAGCCTACAGTGTTCCGGGATGACCCGGTTTGTCAATGATCCAATGGAGGGGTCATTCCGACCTCTATATAGCTTCATTAAACGAGCTGATGCAACTATGAAAGGCAAGATGGCTTATGTTGCCTTTGGATACTCAAGCGTTCAGTCACGGAGTAGTAACATGCGCGCTCAGTTAGGCAACATAATCTCCCCGCAAGGCAATTAACTATTTGGTCATTCTGGAGTAGCATCCGTGTCTCTCATGCGTCGGTGACTAAAGCAATTCATGTAAGCCTTGACAAAAGGAATGCCGCTTACTTAGACAACATGCTTAATGGGGGGATTGATTAAAATACTCAATGGCGCATTATAGACTGGTCCGTTAGTTTCATCGATGCCGAGCAGATGTTTTGGCCATCAAGTACGGTACAATGAATCGCCTCTACACTATCACCCTCCTGGCCTTGAGCCTAGCGGACGTGGCTCTGGGACATTGCAAGTTCATCCTTCAATTCACGACACATACCAGGCACATTGAACCATCTAACATCATTTTAGACCTGTTTTCCAGGATGAAAGTCAATGGCAATATCAGTGAGCACTGGGAATACGTTCGGTGAGTCAACAACATCCACAAAAGCTTTGGTGTTTCCTTGTCCGCATAGTAACATGATTGCAAAGAAATGTCACGACAAACTGGGCATACAACCCTAGCGGCTACGTCCGCCAATGGGTACCGTACTATGATATATACGACGACAACATAAGGTGTGGGCGAGGTGCCGCTATTTCGGGGCCTGGCGTAAAGCTTCTCACAGTTCCGGCAGGGGATGACGTGGTGTTCGTGGTCGGTATGGCAGATGGAAGTTCGGAGGACAACAAGGCCATCTATCACGAAGGTCCTATGCAGGCATACCTGAGTCGTGTTCCTGATGATCAAGCCATAGAAGAGTATCAGGGCGATGGAGATTGGTTCAAGATCGATTACCTCGGCCCCAAAGATCAGACTACATGGACCGTGTTGGGAACTCGAGAGGTAAATGATGACATTGAGCAGAGATCATTGCTTTTCCCTCTTTGAAGGAAGGCGAAGAACAGTGTTAACGCAAGCTCCGACAGGTGCCATTCAAAATTCCGGAGACAACGCCCCCTGGAAAGTATCTCATCCGTGCTGAGCAAGTCTTCCCGTTCAACAGCGACTTTAATGCGACCCAGTTCTATGTCAATTGCGCGCATCTCGATATTGTTGGACCCGGTGGAGGTGTGTCAAAGCCAACGTGATTCAATCAGCAGTTTGACTAGACGCTAACAGCAATCTCAAGGCATCCCAGTCCCTACGGTTAAATTTCCAGGTGCATACGATCTTTTTGATAGAAGTAAGTTATGACCTATCCTTGAAAGACCTTAGAAGATTGATATCATGCCGCGTACAAGCTCTAATAATCATTTGAAAGGTCTATGGGCCCCCTTTAACGTTACTTCCAAGCCTATAGTTGATCTTGATGTGTATGAGCCGCCCGGTCCTCCTGTCTGGAGAGGCTGAACATTAAGGGGACGCTAAGGGAGTGGAGGAGTTGAAACTATCTATAGGAGCTTTGTATGTGTGTTTATTCACTGCGTTGAGTTGTCGTGCCCTGGCAGCTTCATCATTGTTAAACTTTATTCTCGTTGGAACCTATACTCGGTTCTACATTATACCTCCCTTAGCTATCAGGAAACCTGCTTGCGGAGGCTTTGCGTCGAGCAATTATGAAGCTACGAATACGCCCGAGTAATGTAGTATCATGTGGAAATCAGAGCTGTATTAGCACGAATGTAGACTTGAAGCAAAGCTTTGGAAGCAATTTGCTAATGTTTAACGTTACTTTATCATTACAATACCATAATTCGATAAAGATCGACCCATTCACGAGTAGAAAACATCCCAGGTAATAGTCCAAATGTAAAACTAAATGGGGAGTGTGCAGGGATTCAGGGAGTAGGCCCGGGACGTCCAGATGAACAGGCCACTTAAGATCTTAGGATACGAAGAGATGCTTCCCACGGCTATGCACCTGAGCTCCATCCGGATTTAAATCCGGACATTAGGATAATTGCCCGGTGTTACGGTTACGTTTGGTGCAACGTTCAAAGTAGGCTTGGCTGCAAAAGCGTATAGGTTATCTATCAATGTAATTTGTACACCGCTATTCACGGACCTGATAGCCTCATTGCAACATGTCATATCTTAACGGACATGGTTATTTTGTGACCTACTTTCGCTTTTAGCCGCTTTTTGCCACAAGTCTACTGAAGCGTTGATGTAATGATCACGGAGAGTGCTCATCCGTTGCAACACTGCTCACGCAACATGCCGGAGATGCAACTGTACTTTTGTGAATTAGGTCATTGAATTGATTAAGGGTATCCCGATTTGAAGAGACATTTGGTGTGTCTTCTCTCAGAGCCGGGGGTTGACGTGTAAATCGCGCCTTGTGGAATCGAAATACGACTGTCATGAATTGGCATTTCGGCTGCGGCACCGGGGCTCCGTTCCTAGACTTTAGACTTGGCGTTATTGTTACGCTCTCTATCCATTTACCGTACGAAGAGCATTGGCGCAATTTCTATGCTTCTGGGAATCATGTGTAACGAGCTATAAGATGAAGGACGCCTGGGAACATATCATCATTCTTGTGCCAACGCAGTCTGAATCTAGTTTATAAACCAACAAGTGGGCCAACAATTTGCTGCCATACACTCAATCAAGCATCAGTATGAGGGCTGTCATTCTTCTCGCAACGTCCCTTTTTTACACTGTCACATTTGGCCATTGTTAGTTCTAATATGCCAACGTTCTTTGATTTAATGATGAGGTCAAGCTAATGGCTTTCAAGATGCCTTCCCTTGGCTAATTGTCAACGGAACTCTCTCAGACCGGTTCCAATACATCAGGTACGTTGAAAATGGTATATTCTTCGGATGGTTTAATAAAGAATGCTAACCATATTGCCATGACAAAAGAGAGGTCCTCCCACTTGACGGGACAAGACTTGTGAACCCTCAAGAACGCCTCGGCTCGCTGAATGAGACCTGCGGTCGAGGCGCTTGGCAGTTTGGGCCCTCTACCCAAACGGCGACCGTGCTAGCGGGGACTGAGGTTGGCTTTCGACTAGGAGAGAAGGGAGGATATGAGTATCTGTTCCACGAGGGACCAGCAACTCTCTATGCCTCTCGAGTTCCCGAGAACGTGGACATTGAAGACTATGCGGGCCATGAAGATGGCGCCGAGTGGTTCAAGATCGGCTACATGGGACCGGCAGATGACAAAACTTGGAGTTCCTATGGTTTGCGCGAGGTAAGCGTCACCTTCTGAGAAGACATATGTGCCGAGCTCATATACTAAAATCTCGAAGCTAAATTTTACGATCCCCGAGGCCATTCCGGCCGGCAAATATCTCCTACGCATGGAACATCTCTTCCTCATGGTCGATGATGGAACTGGCTACATTCAACTGTTTGTCAACTGCGCGCAGGTTGATATCGTAGGATCTGGAGCTGGTGTCCCGGTTCCTTCCTTGAAATTCCCAGGATCCTATGTTGTCGGAGAGACTGTGGGTACGACCGTCACAGAGGAGCAGAAAGGAATATATGACCCGGCTACCAAGCAAGTGATTGTTACCGGGCTTTTGGACTATGTTGCACCTGGAGGTCCTGTGTGGTTGGGGTGAGGTGTCATGGCTGATGAAAGGCAGTGCTGCTACGCGGCAGCAGAAATGCAGCCTGGCTTCCGTATTCATTATGTCGAGATGTCGGGTCTGGGATCTTTCATTGCTAATTTCAACTTCATACTCGAACTCTCTGACCCAGTATCTAGCGTGGCCTCTGGCAATAAGACATCGAAGGTAGACTAGGTATTAAGCCCGTTATTAGAAGAGCGGCAACGGTCAACAACGGTCAACTTTGACCATTTGCCGCGTTTCCACTGCTTCACTTCTTTTGCGATTTTATATACCTATCGCTTTAGACTATTCAAGGCTTTTTTCTTTTCTTTTCTTTTCTTTTCTTTTCTTTTCTTTTCTTTTCTTTTCTAAAATTTATTTGTTTATTTTATGTTTTGTATTCACTCTGATATGCCTACTGCCCTAGAGAATGCCAAGGGGTGTCCAAAGGGGGTAATCGAGATAGATAGCATTAGGGAATGGGGATAACGGAGTCGTTTATGGAATAGTTTTTAGAATAGGTAGCTGAAAGAAGTAGGCTGACGATATTAATTGGCAATACTTGTGTTAGGCAAACTCCTCTATCAGCCGTATCTGTTCTAGAACATGAAGTAGGTGCTTTGTTTATCTAGGTCTCGAATATACTGTTCTCGAGGTGTGCGCCATGATAGGGTATCGTTACTTGCACTGGAATTTTCCGCCGATGCGGCATTGTTCCAGATCTTCTCGGTGTATTCCATCATATATTCCCTTGAACGGTCACGATATACCTCCATCATCGCGGCGTGCTTACGTCGTACCCAATTCCTTTCCTCCAAAGTGGTGGCCTCGCGCGCAGCCATATAAAATGGGAAAGGAAGCGACGAGTCGGGGCCACAACCAGGCTCAAGTTTATCCATGATTTGAAATAGATGCCTCCGTACAAGCTGCACCCGTGATGACTTGGTGGGGTCAAGAAATAGCCTTCGAAGTAGAAGTAACTGAGCCGTCCAGTAGAAACATTCGCAGACAATGTCCAGGATAGAAATGCCGCTCAAAGACAGAGCGGATGGTCGTGAAAATGAGGCCTGCGTTGCAGCTTTGGACATTGAGGCACCGCGGATCATAGAGTTGTCATACTTGTGACCCCATATGCGCATCTCTGTTTCCAAAGTATATGCCTTGGCCTGGACTAGATCATGCGTGGTCCTGCCATCCAATAGATCGGCACTGAGCACAGCTATCTCAGCCAGAAAGCAAAGAACGCGCTGGTCACATCCATGCATCTCCCGGAACGCTGGGTCTCCGTGATCCAGCTTTTCGTTTTCCTGGTACATGAAAAAGTCAAATGAGGCCAGGGGCCGCCGGAAACGTAGATGGGCATGAACGACATCGACCATAGCAAATCGGTTCACGAGGGTTCTTGAGAAGATGGAATCTGGAGGATGGTAGAGATATCCCAAGTCTTGGATGAAGTGAAGTGCGCATTTCAGATGCATCTCAACATTTCCCGCACCGGTCATCAACACCGACGAAGTTTGCATCATGACGGCGGCTAGTGCAATCTCAGTTGCTGAGAGTATGGAAAACACGCCTCCCTGTAGGAGAAGCTTGTCGGGCGACTTCCCTATGTCTCTATGCCGTTCTCTACTCTCCTGTAGTGCGTTGAGAGCGGCCTGTAAGGAGTGTAGGGCTCGACTTTGGCGTGACGAGAGCACACTTACGTTGCTCCGCCCGCAATTGTGCATGTGAGCTGTGGCAACCGATAGAATCCCATGGAGGAGCACTGGGTGTGACAGAGATACCAGCGCTAAATTTCTCCATGGATTTTTGGTGCTGTCATGGGCTGGTATACATGTGCAAACCCTCTTGAAGACTAACATCAAGACCTGGTTAACTAGGGTTGACAGAAATAAAACAGGCAGTCTTACAATAATTAAATGCTATTTCCTCTCCAGGGCTTTGGAAAATTTGAAAGAGAAGGTTACTCAGCGTATTATCGATGACCCAGGACGTGGAATTCGTAGGGGATGGTGGTACATCTGAGTTGTCCTCGAGTAGGACCAATGATGCATCGCTGTGCTCAGGAACTATAGTCTGGGAGTCTACCAAGCATTGTTCCTGGAGACTCCCGTGACTGTCTTGGCCTATATGGTCGTGCTCATTCCCATAAGTACTATCGGCAGTAGACCAGACTTCACGACTTTGCTCAAAGTGCTCTTCATTGGACATTAGGGAATGCGAATGGAGGTGTTGATGAGCATTCCGAGTGGATTCGATACCACGGCAAGGCGAAGCAGATAATGTATCATGTGGTGTTAGTGAATATTCATCGGCGTGTAAGACAGGGTCCGAAGGCGAAATAAGTTCCTCAATAACATAGTCACAATCGCGTCTTGGTTCTCTAGGATGTGGCACGAAGCCATATTGTTGTGAATGCGATGCCCCAGGGCTATGGGCAGAAGTAGAATCTATGGCATTCCACGGAGGTGAAGCAGGCTCTGTATCAAGAGAAAGTGTCGACTCGGACGATTGAGCTAGATTTGCCGGTGATTCCGCGTCGGGGATAGGCAGTGGAAACCGAGTGTGAGTAGCATTCGCCCCAGGTCGACCACCTCGCTTCACAATCCTAGAGCCTTTCGCATTCTTGTGGAGCTTTGACGTACTGCTAACTGTTGTCCATCTCAACGGGATGCTGTAGTCGCATTCAAGACCGCGTATCTGGCAAGCTTGGCATTTAGGCTGACCTTCATCACATTTCCTGTGCTTTCGGCGGCAGGTCATACATCCTTGATTAAAATCAATTTAGAAAATCCCTGCTGAGCCTTGTAGAATTCAAAATTAGGGCATTAACGAACCAGAACGAGATCTTAGGCCTTGGTTGACGGGGTCCATGGTCGTTGTGAGATCTCAAGGGACAGAGCAGGGCAAGTGTCCCCACACTCTATGGTGGTCTTTGACGACTCGTTCTGTTTCAGGGCTAAATGCTTGGGCGAGGGTTCGAAAAAGCAGGCCGTATCGGACTTAGACAAGGACTGTAGAGGTAGATGAAGCTGGATGATGACCGCCGCGTTCACTGGGGGCCCGAGAACCGGCGCATCGTCATCCGTTATCATGGCCAGTGGATCCTTTACTCTCACTTATCTTCCTCTAGTACTGTCTGAGTATGGCTGGCTTGGCTCGCCCCGTTGTTCGTTGTGCGGGGTATCATGGAGTGCATGGGCATTTCGGCGTTGAAGAGGTAGGACCGGCATTAGTTCGATGTATTTTGTGATATTCTGATTTTGCTGGAGTGGTAAGAAATTCTTCCGGAATTATAGCATAGAATTAGCCTCTACCGAGTGATTGGTAGCTGGATACATTAAATCGTGTCTTCAAACTGGTGACAATGAAACATGGATTGAGGTTATCACGCTCTACGCTTGTTTCAAACAGTTCATCACACGCCCTGTTCCAAATATAATTCATGGACCATCACTTCTAGATGCTTCTACCAAATATCCCATTATCACCTTAGAATAGGCTTTCTTATTTTCTTTACGATCGATCGGTTCATGATAGATGCTAATCATCTGGGAAGGCTCTGTGATTGTGAATGTGGGTGACTTTCTGATGCGATGGTGAGTTTATCATTACCAAAAAGACAACCACTCTTTTCAACTATCGAACACATCGGCCAGATCAAATTATCTTCTCAAGTCCAGCGTCGCAGACCCCCAAGGAGATCGGGTTCAGTCGAACTGTAAGGAAATCACCAAAGAGCGCTTTTCTATCCAGTTATTCGTCTAGGCTGATCGCAAGAAGGTGGTTCAATGCGTCAAAGAGCTTGAGGGGCCTGGCGCTCAATACCTGGCCGTCTCCGCTGAGGAGTATCTCACCATGCGGCGAAAGGCAACATTCAAGAAAGTCTAGTCCACCCGGATGCCGCTGATGCAACATTGTTTTTCAGCCCATAGCTTATGAAATAATGAATCTGCAAAGCTTGTGTTATATTTATGACTGCCTTCGCCCTCTAGAATCTGCTGATATGAAGGTAGGTAAGCAGGGGCTGTTGGACGCCTTGCATGATGATGCATATAAGCACAGCTGATACGAAAGCACTGCCTTCTTTCCGCCTTACTGGCTGTGCCACAGTCCTGTCGTGCTGCACAGCCTGACAATTTGGCCCACACTCAGCTCAGAGTAGGAGCACTTCGCCAGCGAAGCCCAGCGGATAACAGTGAGGAATCTAGTGAGCACTCTCTAGAAAATCTACGGACGAAGAAAGCGCAATAAGATTCTCTTTAACGAGGCATATCTGTATCTGCCGGGATATTTCAGAAGCAAAGATCTGATGGCTCAATACGAGATCGCCGTACGACGTAGTCGGCGCTCAGATTCTCCAGCCGATCTAGACGAGCTGGACTCACCCTCGCACAAGAGACCCCGCAAGGGGGAGTTGGACGCTGCGTGTGACTTGTGCGCCCTAATGTTCTCGGAACAGGGCCTGAGGAGGCTTAATTCCCGGGATGGGTTCACTCACCACACACACGATGAGTGCGTTACTTCGAAAGATGGGAACTGCATCCTCTGCGAACTCATTCTTGAACTTGCGTCAGGGACGCATGGCGATGTCTGGGGATCGGGTGATCCTATGGTCTTTCGGAACCGTAGCTCGGTAGCCGGGTTGCCAACATCCGATATAGACGTACTTCAGGGAAGCCTTGAAGGTAGACCTGATGTGATAAACATTTACCCATTTTCCAAAGCTTGTACGACCCTCTCAATCCCTTCTCTGTTGCATTAGGAAACAAGAGCATCTCTCTGACTTGTGTTAGCCGACCCGGCCGGGACCTTGGTACGTCGAAGACCGCTGCGTCGAAATGTCCAGAGTAGTTCAGTATTCTCTGCAGCCAAGAAACTCATCAGTTCTTGCATGGGATCAAATGGGGCTCAGAATAAGGGACACCAGCAATGTCGCTACTCTCGAGATACCGTGCTGCCCACTCGTGTTCTGGATCTTGGAGACCCGAAGACTCCTTCTCAGACTCTTTGTCTGCAGGTCAATGAAACGGAAACACACGGTTCTTACCTTGCTTTGAGCTACTGCTGGGGCAAACCGGACTTTAAAGCAGAAATCCAACCTGTCCGCCTACAAAAAGATAATATCCAGCAGCTCATGCGCGAGATCAAGCTTGAAAGTTTACCACAGTCCATCCAAGACGCGATCACCGTCACCCGCAAGCTTGGCTTTAGGTACCTATGGGTGGATGCTCTTTGTATTATCCAGGACTATGGAGAGGACAAAGCACATGAGATTTCCAAAATGTCGACCATCTATAAGAATGCCGCTATCACAGTGGCCGCTAGCGTGGCAGAGAAGGCATCGCAAGGGTTTCTCCAAAGCCAGGGTAGGAGGGCCACGTATCTCCCTGAATGCATGCTCACTATCCCAATGGCAAACGAGAGAACTGGGACCATTTACCTATCCGCATATGAGTATGAACCTGACCATCCACTCGACAAACGGGGCTGGGCGCTCCAAGAGTTCATGCTCTCGTCTCGCATGCTGATCTTCTCTAACTACGAGCTCCTCTGGCAGTGCAAGGAAGTCCCTCTACAGAGCGTTACGGGAACACAGGGCGGTCTGGAGTATCTTCAGCCGCTCGAATCCTTGCCATGGGCTGTGTTTGATGACGATGCAGAGCCCTATTTTGGGTCCCTTGATGCTGACAAGATATATCTCTGGAAGACAATCATCCGCCAGTACACCGATAGGGACTTGACAGACAAGGAGGATCGACTAAGGGCAGTGATGGGCATAATTACCGAATTGGAGATGCTATGGCGCGATCAAAACATCCACGGGCATTGGAGCAGGTGGTTCGTTCAGCTGTTGATATGGTACAAGCCCGATATTGACAGAGTGAAGAAGCGGCACCTTAAGCGGGCTCCAAGTTGGTCCTGGGCCTCGGTTGATGGCGGCATATACTACGAGGAGCCCTTGACAGTTGAGGATGCCAAGGTTAAGACATTGACAATGTCGAAAGTGGTACTTTGCTGTCGAATTCTGAGTTCTGATAAAGTTGAACCGGACAAGGCAGATACAGTGCAAGAGAGGCCTGATTTTGTAGACTCCGCCGCCAGGAAAGAGTTTGGCGACAACGATTGCGACTATATGCTCCTCGGCAAGACGCAGAAAAAGAATGGCCATGGAAGGGGAATGGGATTGCTTGTCTTGAAAACGGCTCGGCAGCAGTATCGGAGAGTTGGCTTGGTGACTTTCAAAGACATGAGCATTTGGCAAGGTATTGAGCTACAGGAAATTACCTTTGAATAGGAAATAATCTTTGTCTAAATCTCCAGTCACACCAGCCCTTTACATGGAGATAAATGATGAAATACATATTGAATACGGAGTCTAGTTTATACCTGGCCTTATGCCCCTCTCCTGGCGTGAATCTTCTCGTGTCTACGACAATCACTCTGCCTGCCGAATGCTTTACCGCAAGTTGAACATGAATAAGGTCGATCCCCGAAATGGCTCCGCTCATGTCCCCTAAGATTCGTTTTTCTTGTGAAGGTGTCGTCGCATATCGAGCACTTGAAACGTCCCTGTTTACGGGCCGGTGCCTCGAACATGGAAGGCCTGTCACTCATCTCGCGATGGTAAATCCGCACATGCCGGTCTCTATCCTTCTTGCTCGAAAACCCTATAGGTGCCAGATTACACGCGATAGGGCAAGTGAATGGCCTGTCATGCCGGGCGTGGTGGTTATCGCGTGCCTTGGCGCTGTCGTAGCCGACGTAAAAGTAGCGGCAGAGGGTTCGCTGACACTTGAATAAATTAGGTCCGTAGTAATCCTCGATAGTATCAGTATTAATGGCGCTGTCGGTAGGCACAAAATGCTCCTCGAGGCAGGTCCGGTTAATACGGAGGGCGTCATCGATCTGGGTAATGCCGACAGTGTTACGGCAATCAAAATCACCCTTTTGGTGAGTGAATATATGGTTCCAAATTTTGCGGAGGTTCTCGTGGAACTTTTCAGGGAAGCCTTGGAATGTCTCTCCTGGATCCTCTTCTAGCTCCGCATGGATCTCGGAAGTCAACTGGTGGCCATGTCTCTCGATGAACAGGTTCAGGGCAGTCGCGAACTCCCATTGAGCCTGTACAGCTTGTGTCTGGATATCAGCATGCAGAACCATGATGTCGTTAGAGCTTCTGATGACGGTGTTAATGTGGCTATGCCAATGGGAACAGGCATAATCTTGAAATGAGAACCAGCCGTGCTTGGCATTCTCTTTGCGCTGCATGTCTTGGTAGCCATTTACAAAGCAAGGCAGAGATAGATACCTCAGACAGAGTGCTGTAAGTCTACACTGTACCTCATTCTCACTTATACGATTGTTGTCGATGATGTATCTGATTCGTTAGCGGTGCCATCGAGTTATCGTGGGATAGATTTTAAAGTAAAAGCATGCATACCGACGTGCTGTTGAGTGGATTAACCGGATATGGTCTCCATCTAATACATGTACCAAAGACCCCAGATACTTTCGTACGTTGTGCCGCAGCATCCTATTGTCGAAATCAACCACCTCATTGACCGGGTCGAATGATAAGATGGACTGAATCTCGTGCCATCTGAGGGGTCTCTTCGCGCAAACCAACCATCCCAACAGGATCTTTGCCTTTTCCCACTGAGAATCGCCTCCTTCTAGCCCTTTAAGCTTTGCCTCGATAGATCCCAGGAGCCTTTCATATCTAGAACTGGTCATCAGTATTTCTCTTGGTGTTGGCTGACTGTGGGTCATACATGTCTTCAAGTCTTTTAGGGAGCATCTCTTGGTTGATCTTTTCGAGTAGTTCCCCCTTTGTCTGTTGTTGGAGCAAATACTCCATAGTGAGATGTGCATAGAGAAACATGCCTAGGCATAGATGTTAGTTTGGCATCAGATATGAGACTGCTCAGGTGAGTAAAGAACTTGCCTTGGCTTTGATGGCAGACGATGCTCTCCATCTGCTGTTTATCAGCGTCAGAGAGGTTGAATCCACGGTTGAATTCATTTGACCCCGAGAACTCCACTATTCTCTTTTGCACATAGGTGCGAATATCTTCGGCGTTATCTTTAGGGTCAAGAATGATGCTGGCGTCGCCCTCTGGCATTTGTTTGCTTAATTCAGGCATCGTTTGGCTGGTGAACAACACTCTCAGCTGACCAAGCTTTACATCGTTGTCGCACTTGGAAACCTGTTGCATGAAAAAATGCGCCGTCTGGCGCGCCTCGTTTGGTTCGCACTCATCCAACCCATCAATGATTATGTACTGCCTGGGTGCGTGCTCAATAAATGCTTCGATAAGGGTCTGCGCTGTTTCTGCGTTGGACAAGTTGTCCTCTACGCCTTGATGCATCCTGTCATCGCAAAGAGGTAGAATGTATTCGTCCGCATAGATCATTTGGTGTAGGACTCCCTTCAGGATGTCGAGATAGGTTCGATGCTCATTGTCGTCTTCTTGACAGTAGAAATAGTATATGTTGCTTTCGGAGGGAATTCTGTTCTTCGTTTCGGATGCGCTAAGAGACTTCAACTCATCCACAATGAGTGACGCAAGGATCGTTTTCCCTAATGATTTATTAGCATGCTGCTGTAACCTTTGCCAAAAACGGTGCCTGGGCTATCCTTGCCGAATCCTTTGCTCCCATGAAGCCAAACAGCAGACTCTGGTGGCTCATCCTCCTTCATCCAGTCACAGACCTCGGCGTGACGCTTGAAAAGCCACCGTCCGCTTTTTGGACATATATTTCTAGTATTTTGAAACCTCTTATGCATCTCTGCAACTTTGTTGGAGGACGAGATCCAAAGTTTGATTGCTGCCCTTTGTTTCCTCTTTCTTTCAACCTCACTTTCCTCAAACTCTCTCCAAAATTCCTTTGCACCGTAGCGGTATCGGTTAAAGTCATCCTCTATAGGATCCCAATACTGTCGATTATTGTAATAGCTGTTACCAGAACCATGAGGGTTGTCTATACGGCCAGCGCTGTACATTTGAATAAATTTTCGATGCGTGTCTAAGGACTTTGCAAGCTGCTTGAAGGTGTGGCCCAAGTCCTTCCAAACGGACTTGTGAAGTCGTTGCCATACTGAGAAGGAGGATATTAGCGTATGAATTGACTGTAGGCGGATAAAATTATCCCACATTTTGTGCGGAGCGAGAAGAGCTTGTATGCCAACTTATGGAACCTCTGAACGTCGTCGTAAATGTTGACTAGGCATTCTTCGAAGCCGGCAAACGTACGAAACAGTTTCTCAAAATTGTGCAATTGTGGCAGGTGTACACCAAGCTGTTCGTACACGTCGAGGACGCTGTCAAAAGCTTTCTCTGTTGGGCTAGTAACCTGACGGGGAACAATCAGCTTCATTCCAAAGTGGCAAGTTGATTGAATCACCGTTGAGGAGCATCGCACATACCCTGAGCAAGAAGCGTATTGAGCCCCAAACATATGCCATGGCGTGCCCTGTGTCGCGATTATGTATTGCCGTGAGAGTCTTTGAGAGATCTTCCATCCCAGAAAGGAACTTTTCGATCCTATTCATGTTCATCAAGGTCTTTGTTTGGTCCTGCTTTGACTGTATGTCGCTGAGTTCCGTTTGCATATCTTCCAATGTGCTGGTTTCAAACTGCTCCTTGTGATGGGGCTTCAGGCTGTGCCCGTAGTTCTCAGCTATTTCGGCCAGCCTGTCCATGTTTGCGTTCGTGTATACCTAAAATGTCCAGGCTGGGGCTTGATAGCACGAATTGGATTCGCAGTCGCATTCTCCAAACTTGAGCGTAATTTTGGGCGATGTTTTGGTCTTAGCAAAGATTAGAGAAGATTTCGGTGTCTTTTCCTCTATCCAACCCCCTGATCAGTTTCAAAAGTGCCTTTCTGCAGCATTGCCACCACCAACAGGATTTCAGCCACCTGCGCTTGAGATCCAGCCCCTCCTGCACAGCAAATTGCGCAGCAAATGGCACTTCTGATGCCCCATCAGCTGATTGGGCAGCTCTCTAAGCATAATCACACCTCCCGTAAGGATGCAAGCACCGCCGCTACGGAGTGTCTGACTCCACGTAGCAGATGGTCCGCGAACCACTCCTGCGGCCTTTTAATGCACTAACCGACTGGCACGGTAGCAGAGCAAGCTCGATATTGTCTAGACTCAATTTGTGAGCAGCTTGTACTCGTCAAATATATTATTTGGGGAAAGGTGAGCATCCAGATGACAGTAAGAGAAGCATGTTTGCCCAACGCGCAGGTGCCATTGCGGCAATAACAGAACTGTTGCAGATTTACGGTAAAGAGATAAGCATGATTCAGCCTTGACAGTAAGTTCAGCTCTTCACCAGGAGTTGATCAGACGATTGGGCTCAATTTATATGTGCAAAATGACGTACGACGTAGTTGTGGTGTGGCATTCGGCATATTTTGTACACCAGCACCAATGCCTTCGTTTCAAGGTGTTCCGGTAGCAGAGTGGAAACTCCCCAGGGCGACAGCCCTTCTGGGGGGTTTGAAATTGCTGTGCTCGGAAGGGGTGTGCCAATCTGTGCGGATTGTAAGGTCAGTATCTGGTTCGCGAACCATGGCCAACGCATGAAATGCACTCTTGGCGCTGCTTTGGTACTACCGTAACGTCAACAGCCTCAGCCACTGCAGGGGGCAGTGTTTGGGCGGTCAACGGATGGCTCCTCCTCAGCCTTTCATTAGTGAAAGGTTCCGTTTGGTATGATAGATGACCCGAAATTTCTCATCAACAAGTCCATGGAAGACTCAACACAGTTGTGTGCAAACATCTTTCCCTCCACCAGCATCAGCGGGCAATCATGTCTCGAGCTCTACAACAGCTTCTTAACCCAGTTGATGGTGAGGATGATCCAGCATTCGATGGACCTTTCGGTCCAAATGACTTTGCGAATAATGTGTCCATCAACCATGCGGATTTCCTTGGCGCTGAAAACAACTATGGCGGAGAGTTCTTGAAGTAAGCGGCCGTATTTCTCCCAACCGCGATCCGTTCGTGGATGTGGCAGCTTGCCATGTGACTAGGCTAAACATCATAGTGATGTTCCCATTTTTCAAGGGGATCTTCTTTCCGATGCTTCCAGCTCGACAATGGCAGATCCTGGTTTCAGCCAACAGTCAGATACCACCACGTTAGGCAGCGAAACTGAGTACAGCTTGGACGCCGATCTATTAGAATGGGGAAACGCAGTATTATTGCAAGAGAATCTTCAACACAATTTTGATTGGCCTCAAGCTTCTTTTGCGTCTCATCAGATATCCCAGGCTCCATCACTTTCGCCTCTGCCAAATCAATATGCCAACCAGTCCGTCGCACAGGTGGATGACGTAAATACCGTTGTATGTTATGGAATGGTAAGTAAATTAACAGTCTCTATGGAAATATCTCAATGCAAACTTTCTCATTAATCATCAATCAGTTGCATTCAATCGATATCAAATTGGTCGGTGACATGTCGGTAATCGATGTGAGGCTTCGCGCAGCCGACTCGATATACCAGCGTTTCGAACTCTCCAACGAGCAGGATCACATCATCATACGCTTCCCCGAAAATAAAGAGAAATTTGGATACCTACGCTCGGGCGAGACCAAGACAATCTCACAGGTGCTTTCTCACAACATAACCTTTGAACCGATTGCCCTCAAGGCGGCTCTTCGAGAGGTTATCGGGCGCGCACACAAGCCGGGAGATGCAATGGTGAAATTAGACATTAACGTGTACGGGCCGCGACAAGAATCGTCACGTGTGAGTGATGCACTGTCCCGCGGCAAACTATGGTTGCAGAGACCAGATCATAGTAGCGAAGGGATCATCTATGAGAACCCACACTTCTTGAAGCTCAAAATCAACGGTGATCGGGAGAGGACTCTGCTACCGGTAGAGCATGTCGTAGGTCATACAGCACCAAGGAGAAATGTTAGGGAAGAGCAGCTTCGCAAACTGGTGGAGGAGGTATATCAATCAGTCGACAACAGCCGCGAGCTTGAAAGAGTTGACGGAGGAGCAAGGGTCACCCAGCAATTACTCAGGTATTATGACCTTGAGAACAGATACAAGAGAATCTTTTTTATGCTAATATTCATCATTCAGACACCAACAAGAAGCCTTAGCTTTCATGTTAGAGCGAGAGTCTGGACACATTGCTGAGAGATACAGGTTGTGGCGGGAAGTTCCTTTGGAAGGAAAAGTACAGTGAGTTCGACTTTGACGTTCCTCCAGTCTCGCAGTTGCTGACTATATAGGTATCAACATAAGATCACCAAGGCCCGGAGATTGATTCGGCCAGAGGAGTCAGGAGGTGGCATCTTGGCTGACGAAATGGGGATGGGGAAGTCACTTTCTATTCTAGCTTTGGCCATGAAGACGCTCGACGATGGCCAGGAATGGGCCGACGAGTTGAACATTGGCCCTGTGGGAAAGAAGCCGATTAAGCATTCTCGTTCAACGCTTATCGTTGTATCATCTGGCTGTAAGCTCCATGATCTTAGCACAACTCGGAATTCAACGCTGACGCTCCGCAGTATTGATCACCAACTGGGAGACTGAGATAAAAAGGTAAATCTTCCCAATTTTCTTTCATTGAAATACAATTCTAATACTACCTAGTCATCTCCAAGCAGGCCTCAAGGTAATCGTGTATCATGGCCGACGAAGAGAGAAGGATGTCGACAAGATACAAGACTCAGATATTGTCTTGACCACCTACAGCACACTTGCGGTCGAATATCAACGCAAGAAAATTGAGCCTTCTATCTTACATCTCATTGGGTGGTATCGAGTAGTTCTGGACGAGGGTAAGTTGTGTGTGCCCGAGTTCTATAGCTTTCCCACTGACGGTTATAGCTCACATTATTCGCCGCCCTTCCGGAACCTTCTACCACTCTTGCAGCGAGTTGAACGCTCACTCTCGCTGGTGCCTTACTGGCACACCCATCCAGAACAAACTAGCCGACATCGGGACTCTCTTCTCCTTTATCCGCGCCGAACCCTTCAACAAGGCCGCAACCTTTCGCAAGTGGATCGACATCGCCTTTGAGCATAACGCAGATGACCCTAAGCAAGTTAAAGACCGCCTGGTCATGCTTCTCGAGGCCTTCTGCTTGCGGCGGACAAAGGATGTTCTAGAATTGCCAAACTTGCGGCAAGAGATTCGCTGGCTAGATCTCAGCCCCGAGGAGCGCACGCAGTATGACAGCACGCAACGCATCTTGATGCGATCAATCAAACAACGCGTCGGAGAGACGGAAAAGGGCTCCAAGTTCGGACTCTTCCAAGCCAATCTGCAGCTACGCATTCTTTGCAACCACGGGACGTACCAGAAGCCATTTTCATGGCAGCGGCGTATTTATCAGGATGAAAGGGAGGCGAAAGGATGCGCACTAGGAAGGGATGAAGAAATCAAGTGCTCTGTTTGCCAACAGCCCATGCCAATTGTCGGGTCAAGCTATTTGGGAGACGTGTTTGAAGACCCATGTTTGCATGTACTGTGTGCCGAGTGTATCAAAGAGTCGACGATGCCGGGCTCTGAACTGCAGAGGCGTCGCTGTCCTGTATGTGTGGAATGGCGAAGGCCCCAAACTACCGTGGGTATCAGCTCAGAGGCGGAGGCAAGTGGTGAATCCGGGGATCTGGAAATGACAGATGCCCCTGTGAGGAGGACCTCTTTTGGCGACGACCATGACTACTACTTCAGCTCGCAGGGACATTCCACAAAAATGGAGAAGTTGGTTGAAGACGTGGGAACCAATCTTTGGGAGACGAAAAGGTACGCAGCCCACACTGATTTTTGATTATTCTGATATGCAAGCTAATCCACGAAGTATCATCTTTTCGTGTTGGACGCGGACGCTACATTTGGTGTCAAGACACCTACGTCGAGAGAATATCCCTTTCCTGTGTATTGATGGGAACTGTCCCCTTCAAAAACGACAGGAGAATCTTGAAAAGTTTGAGAAGAGCAATGAGAATCCCGTCCTTCTCATGACAACGGGTACCGGCGCTTTCGGGTATGTGAAACCTGTCACTACCCACTTCCAATATTGACATTCTTTCCTAGTCTCAACCTAACATGTGCCAACCGAATCTTCATTGTCGAGCTGCAATGGAACCCCAGTGTTGAATACCAGGCCATCGCTCGCGCCATACGATTTGGCCAAAAAAGTGAGGTCAAGGTCATGAGATATATCATCCGAGACACTGTTGAGGAGGTTTGTTGTCAATATGCTCGCTATAATCCATGATACTAACCGCAAACAGGAGATGAGAAAGCAACAACAATGGAAGAAACAACTTGCCAGCTTTGGGTTTGACGAACCTGTAGACGAGATGGACGTGGAGGCGCAGCAACCGTAGTGTCTCGAAAGTATCAAGACAACGCCGAGGCAGACCTATAGCCTGTTTGTACCTACTCATTGTGAAATCTACTATTGTTCCCTTATTTCTTTATAATCATAAATTTTTCTCAGTCTCTACTTTGTTAAACGCTAAAGTCCTCTTCCAAGTTCGCAACCTTTTGCTGTCCAGTTCGTGATACTAATTCCTACAATGTCTTCCTATGGCACTCTCTCTGTTGTGAATGTGGCCTTTCCAACATTGTGATTTTCATCATCTCTCAAGCCATCTAGTTCGTGATATTAATGATCGACATCTTTATCAGCTGAGGGATGAAGCTATGCAGGCATAATCAACTCAATATAAACTACATCAAATTATTCTTCAGAAAAATGATAAGTACATAAAAGTCGATTCCGCTCCACAGGCAAAGAAAATGACTAGATGATCAAAGACTTGAACCCTATGCTTGCCCATTGAAGCCTAAACCAAATTATCGCCCATAAATTTGAAACTGTTACTTCGTTCCAGTTTCTTTTTTTCATACCAGTTCGTAGCGTAATGCCACGTAGCAACCGTGACCAATGTAAGTACAAGGGAGCAAACAACAAACACCCAGATATATTTTGATACGATTGACTGCCCATCTGATGGAAAATTAAATAAGGAAGTTGAAAATACGGACTGCTATAAATTAGCCAAGCTCATTTCTCTAGGGGGTAAAATACTCATACAGCTACACAAGAGAGCGGTATGTATATCATTGTCAGAAGAGCAATTGACTTCATCTGAATGCTCTCGGTCTTGGTCTCAACTGCAATCATGTTGTTGACCCTTGCGATTTTTGTATTGGTTGTCGAATCCTTCTGGGCGATTTGATTCCATTGCTATGATAGGTTATCTCAGATGATGCGCATTCAAACAGAAGTTTGTCAATACTCACTGTCTGCATAATGAGCGATAAGCTCTCGGACATCATCTTGCATTCGTCGATTTTATCGTCGTACTCGTGAAGGATGTCTTGTAGTCTGATCCTTATTCTTTCTCCGATCTCTCTGAATTTCATCCTCTCTTTAACATCCACGGTATTATTTGTTGCCTCGGAATTTATACCGGTCATCCATTCATTGAAACGATCAATGTGGGATATAAACTTTGAGATTTGTCTCTTGGTGGACCGTATCTGATCGGCCAATTCGCGACTCCGCAGGCAGATGGCGAGATTTTCCCTGGTTTTGCGGTTGTCGACGGGAATATCTGTGTTCCAGTACTTCATGTCTAATACTTCAGCACGAAGAGAAAACTGGTCCACCAGATCGTCAACGGCACTGACGAGCCTCTCTCTTTCTATCTCTGCGAAAATTCCTACGGTGGTCAGTGGATGATGCAGTCCATCGCCTGCTAAAGATATGCGTCGTTGAATCTTTTGCATCTGCGATTTATTGCACCCATACACGATGCAAAACTGTGATTTCGTACCCGGAATGTAGGTAGTCGATAGAGCAAGATCATCAGGGAGACCAGCTGACATTCGTGCTAGATAAGCTGAGTAAATGGCACTCGTCAGTACTTTGATACAAGAGTCAATAGTGATCACAAATGCGCCGCACTTACAAAACTCAGGCTGCTCGCTACTGTTAAGATGTTTTGTTGCAGAGAAGCAAGCAACCCTTCTAGAAATAACGCGAGTGATACCTCTGTGCACATGCCAACTAGGCACCACTAGCTCCCATATCGGCAATGTAAAAGGCAAATAACTAGGTGGTGAGGGATCTCCCTCGAACACTTCGGGTGCTCTGCTGCATAGTCTGTAGCAATCATCTTAGCTTGCTAGGATCGTAGTTAAGGCGGGATGATATGCCTACAACAAATGTAACCCTTCCCTCTCTGTATCGAGAGGCGATATTCCAATTGTCTATTTTTTTTATTTTAGAATCCAATCAGCATATACGGCTAGGGAGGCATACGTTAGAAAACCATCTTTCCCAACTCTCATCTGTTGACAATGCCTCTACTACGGGGATCTATTAAAATATCAGCATGGGGTGCAATAACGGAGGGCAGGGGAGCAAACCTCATCTTTCTGTAATTTTCGGATCGCTCTGGCATCCTGAGCACCTTCTTCTTTATATCCAAAAATCCTCCAGTCATTCGGTAAAAATGTCGGGTCGGCCGGCATCCAATCCATCATCTCGGCTTGGAGCACGCGAGGAATAAAATCAATTCACAACCAAGGAGTCTTTGACCCAACAGCGACTCACAACGACGTCTGCGATGTTTGGCCTTTGAGACATGGAGACTCAACGCATTAACCGGGGAGTTGGGGATGGTCAGTCGAACCCTCCAGCGTGGCTGTGCAGTCAAACAGGGGAGACTCGCTGCAAGTACATGTTCTTGGAAATGGCTGCAGCAGCTGGCGGCCGGAAATGCACGAAAAACGCCTCGATACGTGGGCTGATGTGATTCGCCTGAATTGTGATATCAGACAGGAGAGTCGGGTTGCAGTGCATAGCTACATCATCCACACGAATGTGTAGCACTTTTCATTACCAATGGTCATGTCTGTCCAACCCGCGCTGCCTTGGCAGACAATAAGGCGAAATGCATTTTCTGCAATTGAGCTGTAATTGAGAGGGGTATGCACCATGTGCAATCTTCCTTCGCTCGCTTTGCGGTCCGGTACGTGATCGACGCGCCTGCTTCAGACAGAGCATAGCCACAACCATCTACAAGTGAAGTCACATATCATGTGTTCAGCTCACCGGTAAAAGGAAGTCATGCGACAAATATCAAATCAGATCAAAATATCGCGCGAGGTGTTCTGCATCGGAGGCGCAGCCTTGGTGGCTGCTATAGGGTAGAACGCTTATGCCTGGATCGAGACATCTCTGTCGAACCAACAGACAGACCAAAAACAATGGAAACACCCTCATATTGTAAAAAAAACATACAATCGAATAGGAATGAAGGAAATTTCAATCATACAAAAAAAAATCCAAAAAAGCAAAAAGAGAATTCTTGCGTAATCTGGGAATCGAACCCAGCCCTATCGCTTGGAAGGCGACAATCCTAACCACTAGACTAATTACGCTTCGGTGGTTGTTTGGTTGTTGGATGGTAATAGTGGTTTATTCTATATATACCAAAACCCTTACCTTGGTCCGCACCAGGCATGTATACATCGGCCTGCGACAATTACCAGATGAGCCGGTATATCAACCCAGACCTATCGCTTGGTGGCGACAATCTTAGCCTGGACGAATTTGTTAATGAGGAAATTTGGGGAATGAGGCTCTGGGGCGACCAACCATTAGACCACTCAGACTGTAGTTGTTGTTGATGAGCAGGGGGGATATGTACTACGTATATACTTGCCCCTGCTCATTTCAAGCACAACATAGATATTGTGACTGCCGTAGACTCCGGACAGAGTGCGTCAGATCAACCCTTCTCATCGTCATGCATTATGTATAAAACGTGTAACTTCTTGAGAAAATGAGAATAAATCCGAGTAAGATTTCATCTCACAGCCACAGAACGACGCGGTCTGCATCATTCTTGCCTGGTGATAGCACAACGCTTTTATATATGACACTTAAGCAAATAATTTAATTATGACAATACTAAGAAAGGGGCGTGTATAGAAACGGGGTCAATGCAACAATGAAAACAAACCCGCCGATGAAAGAGCCCGCCAAGATCGCCTGACGTTAGCAAAATCCGTCCCAAATTTTCCTACTAATCCCTAAATTACTTAACGCGAATAAATTCACAACACGTACATATCGAAATACCGCTGTGGCCACCAATGTCAAATATGGCCATGTCCATTCAGCTGGATGATCGCCTGGCAACGCGTTGTCAGATGACACCTGCTCCCCGCACTTCGAATGTTCGGCCTGACTCAGGCTAGACAGGGCACTTACAATCCTTCCAGCTTTTCGTGTAAAATGTTTCTGAATGTTGGCACCCTTGATGAAGATCCTCGAGTCTCTTTACGAGAGGTGTGGCCCTGATTCTGTTCTCTTTGTCACATGCCAACATCTGATGCTCGATCAGCTCTAGCATCTGAACTAGAAACCAACTACAAGCTTTGTTTTCCTTTAAATCCGCGATAGACTTTTCCACGGCAGGCTTGATCACGGCCTTTTTCTGCTCGATGAGCGTGAAGAAGGTATCTACTTCGAAGCCGTACATATCCTTCATTAGTCTCTCGTCGGAAAACTTGTCGGGGAAGTCAGCACCGAGAAGAAACCACCCGATGTGCTCGAGAAAAACACAACCAAGACTATAGACGTCGGCCTTTGGACCCACGAGTCCATCTAGAATATCAAATTCCGGCGAGCGGTACGTTTCAGTTCGACTTAGAAGTTTCGGGTCTTGGATCGATCTAGAAACCTTCGTGTGCAACCTCCCTAGCCCGAAGTCGGCCAAGACAAGTCTCCCTTCCCCCGCAGACGACCGGAAGTATAATATGTTGCTTGGTTTGATGTCCCCGTGTCTGCCGTATATATTCTTGGGATCTGTTACGTCCTTAGGCAAGGGGAAATTCGAGCGGTCGTTATGAATAGCCTCCAGTGCCTTTGCTAGACCTAGGAACTGCGCAGACATTGACAGGCAATGCGTCATGTCTCCTACTAGGGGTGTGTTCGTCCGCCAGAAATACTCCAGAGGTCCCTCGGCACAATCAAACAAGAAGTAGAAAGTCGACAGATTATTAAGTCGCTCTTCAAACGTCGCTAAAACGTGTATCAAGTGTCTCTTGTCGCCATTTTGGTCGGCAGAGAAGAGTAGCGAAGACAATTCCAATTCAAAGTCGTGGCGGTTGTGAGATGTAAGTTTCTTCAAAGCATAGTAACCCTGAGAATGTCTCAACTGGATATGCGGGTTAGTCGCAGCTCATTTCTCAACTCATGAGAGACTTACTCCAGTGTCCGGTAAACGGCAATGAGAATCATAGAGCTGTACTCTATGCACTTCGCTGAAGCCTCCATAGCCTCCGTTTGCAGGATTACCGCCCTGCTCATTAGAAGTCTTCTTGCTGCGAGAGTTCTTCCGTTCAGGCGAAGGCATCCGGGTCCGATCATTTGAGAACTTGATAGGGATGCAATTTCCATGATCTAGCACATAGTGTGAATGTCGATCAGGTTGATAGGCAACATACGGTGCTGTGAGACGATGGACCGATCGTAAAAAACTCTCTCGGTCACTAGGCGTGTATTTGCCGATATTCATGATTTCTATGTGGTTTTTGCTTTTACATTCGCAGTGAAGTTTTTCAGCGCTGTCGCTCGTGTCTGCTTTCAAGGGCAGACAGCCGTCATTTAGTCCATTGTCTAGATGCTCGCTTATGTCGTGTTCGAACTCCAATTTGCTCAAGATGAGGGCCCCGAAGACTTTAAGAGCCGGGCGTTGGCCGTCTGACCCGAAGCAGATACTCTGAGCCAGAGTCTGCTTTTGTTTAGGAGTTCGACTTTTGAAACATGGCAAATCGTACATAATCTCGAGAACCCGCACAGGAGTCATGATCTTCGTATATCGGCTTCTTGGAATGAACTTCTTATCAGGATCGAACTGGTAACGAACTTGGGCTGTCTCCAGTTCGCCCCGAATGTCTCTCGTCGTAGTGGTGCCTTTGGGCTCTATAACGCAACGAGGAGTGGGCTTATCTTCATGACAGAGACATTCGCCATTGTCTGTGATATGTCGTACTCGGTCCGGGTTGTCTAAGTGGAAGGACCACTTAGTGCCGTTAGGTGCTTCTTTGAGATTCATTGAGGCCGCAGTATTTCGAGAGCGGAGTCAGTTTGAATATTGTGTAACAATTATAGCTCTTGGCAAGCACCGGCTACACCGTGGCATGAATATCTGTGTCTGATGATGATCACTTGATCTTGACTTCTGAAACTGACCTGACGGCTTCACAGACGGAAGTCGAAATGCTGTGTCACACGTAATCACGACACGAGCGAATGACCTCTGCAGCCTTGGCCGAGAAATTATGGGCCAAAAGATGAATCAATCAATCAAAAAACTGCGAGGAGGTTACCGAAGAGGCACTCAATAGGCTGAAAAGCTGAGAATCGCATAAGCTTAATTATTGTTTACTAAAACTTAGCATCACATTGCGGTTGGACGTGCTTTAAGTTTATCACGGGCGCCAGTTGTTAAAATTTTATTTGCTCATACGGCCATCGAGCCGCACTCTCCAGCCTCAAGGTAACACAACCACCTCTCGATTATATCATCAAGCCTTAGAAACACACACCGACCTGGCAAGGCGACTTTTGCCTTGCAGTTTTGATAACGCCAGCCCGTCAGCCGTCCTTTTCAGCTCTCAGGTGGTAACCCTTTTCGTGCCGTAAGGGCTGCGTGAAGGCGGGCGACCCGTAGCTGGTTCGCACCGTATGCGAGGTGTGTTGTAATGAGGCGATGTCTGACCACCTCATCCTGAATGCGAACCCCGCACGCACATCCGTGGGGGTTGTCGTGGGTTGCAACTTCAAGGACACAGATGTCCGTGTTCAAGGGTTGGCTATCACGAAACTCATTGTAAATGATCTTCGTAAGAGACCATTACAGTGTTTATTGACTAAAGACACGACTGGTTTTTGGTAATCAATCATAAAAACATCAATAGCGAGACTATGAGAAACATTTCTAAGCCTTCACATGACTAAAATGCACAGGCGGCTAATAATTTGACCGTCTCTCGTTGCAGCGCATGGCACGGGGAGGTGGCTGTGCATGGTAGATGCAGTTTCATGGGCGTGAGCAGCCCATCCATCGGTGGATTATGATTGGTTCTACGATCCCAATATTTCAAGCCGCTATCAGCTAACATGTGTAGTATTCTTGGGGGGATTGGGCAAGGCGTCGATTAGGCGGCCCGGGGGGCTGAATGATGTGAACAGTGAGCAGGAACCCCGCCCAATCATTCGCAATAACAAACACGGCATGAGCAAAGCGCCTATCTTATACCCCAATGTGCAGTAGATGATATTTGGCATCCCTTTTGCATAATGGACATGTATTAGTCGCATTTTACGAGAGGCTGATTACTAGCCGTGGATAAAGAGAGGCGGCCCCTTTCTCAATCTAATCAGAGAAGCTTCAACTCTTCTTCGTGATCAACTGATTCTGTAAGTTCCCCGTGGTTTCTTTGCCTCAGGATACTGACGGGTCGGCAGTTGACACTATCACATATCAATACAACTTGCAAGTTAGCATAGTTATATATTGTGTCAATCTCGCAGTTCACCTAAACGTACCGAAACTATGTCACAGATTCAACCATCTTCCCGACCTTCAGTTGCCAGAGATGTTTATTGGAGGGACGGAGAGAACGGCAAAAAGTTTACCTCTGTCTCTGCGTCGAACGTCAGCTCCAGCCAGTTAAAGTTATATCTAGACCAGTACTACCCAGAGCGATACTCTGTGCAGGTAACTCTTCAACCCAAACTCACATCAATCACATACTTACAATTTGAAGCTCAAGAGAGACATCTTTCGAATCACGATAACCGGCGAGGCCTAGGCAGTGCCAACGAAATGTTATGTACACGCTCTAATTTGTTAGAATACCCTTCAGGCTTTAATAATTGCTTTCAAAGGCGATTGAAGCGCTTTAAATGTGCAGAAGCACCATCTCTCCAGTCATTACATGATCCCATGTTCAGTATATTTGACCACGGCCACTGATACCTTCAGTGGTGAAAGGCGAGGCACACATGCTGGACTGTCGCTTGTTGTATGCAGGTTTCTTTTGATCTGGATAAGTTTCTCTTTCTCTTCAGTTATCTCAATCAGTGTATTCTTATTTTATATATTTTGAGTCTTTTGGCCAAGACTTCCTCTTCAGGACGATCTAATCTATTTCACAGAAAGCCTTTATATCAAACATCGTGACTTTTATTAGTTTTCTGATTCCTCTACTTTCAACTATTTCGCTGTGCTCGATTGGACCTTGTTTGGAGAACAATATTTGTAGTAATACAATCCAATGATGCCCGATAGGTCTCGCTTCAACACTAAGACTTGTTTCCTAAAGGGGGGCTCTAGCTTGTCAGGTTGAAAATCTCTGAGCATCCCTCATATTTTAATAATGGTTGTCCATCACGATCACATGTCAAAGACTAACGAATTAAAAAATGTTGGCCTCAGAAAATGCGTGCCTCCAAGCTCCCCTGCCAAACTTGTGTTCAAGGGTATCAACGCCACCTATTCACTCATACATATACATATTCATACTCACTGTCGGAGTAGTCCGCCCATGATTTTCTATTGGGTTTTGCCACATTCGAAATCTTTCGTGCAGCAAATGGTATTTGGCCGCCCACACATGGCATGTCGACTTTGCCCAAGAACGCCGCCATTCTCTTGCCCTCGTATCGAAGGGTTCCGTCCTCCGGCTCTGGGTAGAGTTCGCCTTCACCAGTCTCTCTGCATCGAAACTTGATGAAATACTGAAGTTCTTGTGCACCATCCGTCCTGGATTTCTTCCTCGGTTCGTGCCGCGGCGAAGCTTGGGATTTCCTTTTCCTGCCTCTCGTCCCGGACCCTCGATCAGCGTCCCCACTCATATCATCAATTTCACCCTCATCATCATCTTCCGCATGCTCCTTCTCGTCTGAATCTGACTCCTCCGTGCCTCCTTCATCAGACTCATATTCATCGCCGAGGTAAGAAAGATGCGCGTTCAACTTCCCTTTGTCTGTACAGATAAGCATGACGCCCACCAAAATCGAAAAATCAAACACAACCCTGAAGATTCCATCTTGATCAGTTTCATTAATATCAAGAGTCAGGTCCTTGACATTATCCCAGCCCTGTTCAATTTCCTGACAGTCGACAATATAGTGACCAACAGGTGAACAAGTCATCTGTCTTCCGTTGCGTTCAAGAGATTCAAGGTACTCCTGATGTAACTTGTCACGTTTTTCTTCGCGCTCTTTCTCTGCTACTCAAGTCTCCGCCGCTTCTTTACCTGGGTGGCTTAAGGCTGCTTGCCGCACAACCTCTTCATCCCAGCCCATGAAAACCGTTTGTGTCTTTGGGCCCGTCTCCGGTGGCGCAGTGAAGGCCCTCGACCTTTTGAGCTGCCTCGCGCATGTTTTTTGGTAGGGTTGAACTATATCGGTCGAAGGGGATCCCAACCAGGGATGTTGACCTGGTTTTGTCAGGACGCCCCGCGGTAAGAAAGTATTTCTCCATCGCGAGTTCCGGATAGCTTGATAACTCGTCGGGAGTGAGGGAATCGAGCCACTCGGTATGCATCTCTTCGCGTAGCACGAGAATGTGATCAGGCACCTTGTCGCATTTTCCCGCTCGGAGGACCTTTTTCATAAGTAGCCCACCGTTTCCTGAAAACTCATCCTCACGAAACGCGACTCCGTAGTGTTGGAGCTGGCCGCGAACAAAAGCCTCCCCTCTCTTTGCTAAGATCTCGCGCCCTTCGGGACTTATGTTGGGTAGAAACATAGCACGTAGCTCGGACCCTTCCATTCGGTCCACATGGTCTACACGAAACATTCCATGTGAGTAAACAAAGCCATCACGGACGATCTGCCCCCATTTATTTTTGCCCATGATGACTTCAAGTGCGCCTTGAGGCTACTGTTTGTGTTTTCCCTTGACACGGATGATATATCATACGTAAGAGAAAGGTAAAGGTTCAACAGCAATGGAAGATGCCAAAGCCCGACATCTCAACACCATGAAATACAAATGATGCTTTCGTTAGAAATCGGGAGTGGTTTCGCGTTGGGGTGGGGCGGGCTTGACTAAATGACGTAATTTAATTCCGCTTGCCCCTTTTATGCAATACGGGCAATGTAACTTGGGGCGTGATCGAGGTAGTTCCCAACACTGGACTTCTCATGACTTCTCATCGCCCGACTTATTAGTTTGATTTATCATCTTAAGATTCGGCTTCTCGTAACATACTGACAGGCCATTGGTGAGGATTAAAACTTTTAGGTAGCAAATGCTATAGCAGCCATGATTAGAATCGTTACATCTCTCTCACATTGTAACATAACTATCAGTAGCAAATTTTAACTTGATTTGAGGTGAAGACGATTTAAAGGAACATAGCTGTTAATCGGTCAAATTTTGGAAGTTCGAAACTTCCTTTCTTCGTCCCACTTCTTCTTACGTGCCATAGCATCTGCAGATTTCCGGGTAAAACCTTCATACAGGAGAGGCCAGTTACCACCAAGAGTGTTTATATCGACAGGACGCCCTGTCTTGACATCTACATAGGTCACATATCCCTTGACTTCCGCAACGATGGCTTGTTGCTGCAGAGAGAATAGAGAGGTAACGCCGTGGTTGCGTGTGGGCTCTATCCGTTCTTGGCGGTATGCGGCGATCAACTTGCATCCGTGTGTTAGCGAAGATACTATCAGCCCAGCGAGAGAGATGAGTGGAATATGTAAATGTTTGTTTCAAGGAGGGCAGATGTTAGAGCAGGGCTTTATTGGCAATGTGAACACATAGGGCAGGGGAACAAACTTTGGAAAGTGAACTAACCGAGTCTGGGTACTTGACCTGCCTCCGTATATCCAAGTCATACTTCCTTACAGCTGGAATCACAGTCTTGCCATTGACCATGCCGTCATATTCTTCCTCGCTAAGAAATTCGTCGTAGCTCTCCATGACCCGATGGAAGCAGGTACCCAAAAAGGCCATGTATTGCGACTGCTTGACGTGCCCAAAGGGATCCTGGTGTTCCGCCCAGAGGATTCCATGCTCTATCATAGTTTTGGGGTCATATCCCATCTTCTCGAGTGTACTGAGTGCCTTCTCACGGAGAGGGGCATAAGGATCAGCGTGCGGTCCTGGCTGTGGCGCCCCCGCACGTGTGTAGGGGGAGCAGTAGGCCGACTCAGCCAGCCGGGATTGTGGCTTGCTCTTCATGAGAATAATAATTCTGCTAAAAGCAAGGGCCAGTGAAGCGATTCCAGTACGAGATGCACTTCGATCGAAGGGTCAAGGGGATAGAACTAGTGAGTGGGTTGATGGAAAATAAAGGTTTGGGGATCAATAAGTTTAGTGAACTAAGGAGCAGCTCCCTTTTATATAATGTCAGATTCACAGCGCAGGGGTCGCAATCTGACGGCAGGTTAGTAGTTAGTACATAGTAGATCCTATGAAAACCAGGGTATGTGTGTGTCGGTTCGCGCCGACCTGCCTTAATAGTCCATTCAGAATGCAACTGTAAGAGAGATCGACCGCCGAATAATCCAAATCTCTGTTAAGATACTAAAACTCAACCGTTTAAAACTCTTCTTTTGCGAAACAAGAACATATGCAACCACCACAACGATTTAGGCAGGGGTTAGTAGTTGGTTGCTTCTCGGTGAAGTCGGTCTCCCCCCTGCCCTAGCACCAAAGTAATCCACCACCCACTGCTATAATTAGATAGAGCCTGTATAACATTCCATTTCTGCTACATGTGGGCTATCATTTATTCATTATTTGAGAAACATCGCTATGTCGTGGGTACCAATACAAGTAATATACTAATATTGGTTCAATCAAGATCGCTGATGTGTTGTGAAAAAGCCCACCAATCACGCAGTCACTTAAACTACGAGCGGTCAAGATTCGCCGTATAGCTCTCAAGGCCTTTCAAAGAGGCCTAGGAAACTTTATTGCGGGAGATAGAAACTTTGTTGATTCAGGCATAAAGATATCGATCATTGATCATTTTCTACGTAGCATTGGAGATCTAAACTACTTTATGAAGAGTTTCTAGAACAAGCTTAATGCTGCGTTCTGTTGGGAAATAGCAAACAAACATGTTCCTTTCCAACTATAAGACAAGTGTGCTATGTTTTTCTGCAAGTTTCATACCTATTAAATTTTTTTAGAAAAATTTTGGCCATAAACAAGGGTCTGGTTGATCCCAAGATCAGGCAGCACGTGATCTGATCACATAATTCTTTTTAAGAACACAATTATTATTATTTTTTACTAGCAGAAATCACATATTTTGTACTCATTCCAGATCATTGATTGTTCAGAAGTAACAGATGTTGTAGCTCAGACTACCCTAAACCAGGAGCCGTGTCAATACATGGCTTTGGATTTGTGGTGTCTTCTAAGTTCGACTCTGGGAATTGACTTAATTCATACCCACTCTTCATTGCATATCGTTGAATGGCATCCATATAACAAATCATCGAGATGTGTGATGATGGGAGTACCATTTCTCAAATATGATTTCTCTCAACAATGATGCTACCCCATGGGATGGCGGATGAAACGGCACGAGCGTAATAAACAGTAGAGCCTCAGACTGGAATGAGTGTGGCCAATCTTCGCATTCTATGCAAGTATGGCCCACGTAACCTCATGGGGGCTGGAGGCTGCTGCGTGGGTGATCAGCCACAACGCCTCTTATGAGCATTGCTAATGAGGACACTTTGGGTCATAATTGCTAGGTTCAGTCAGCTTCTACTGGCTTCGTGTGGAGAGCAAGCCCCTGTGCCGCGCAACCAATACCGCCATTTTATGCTGATCATGGGGCATTGGAATCCACATGGTGGTCACTGCGCCACCAGCGAACACGACAGACATTTCCACAAGCCGAACAGCCCGTGATATCCGGGGAACGATGACGATTGAAGGCGCGGGATGACGATCTTTTGTTGCCATAAATAAACAACTTGTTCTTATATAACCGAAATGGTTTTCTTTGCAACATTCAAAGAAACACTATCAACATCAGTATCAGCATCACACTATTCTACCATTCTACAAGTTACAACACCACACTCAAACCAATATTACCATGTCGAACCAGAGCTATTACGGTTACTCCAGCAGCCACACCTACCCTCAGCAGCCTCAGTACCAGCAACCACAATACTCACCAAGACACCTGGGAAACAACCCCTACAGCCACGGTCAGGGAGGATACATCCCTCCCTACCACCAACAAGCCGACTACTACCGCGCTCCTGCTCCGCAATACAATGGTCACCAGGAAACAGTTGGTCCTGATGGAGAGCGTGGGCTTGGTGCTACAGTTGTAGGTGGAGGCGCTGCTGGTTGGGCTGCCCACAAGGCTGGTTCTGGCATGCTTGGCAGTCTGGCCAGTGCTGCAGCTGGTGCCATCGGTGCCAATGTGCTTGAAAACAAGTTGAAGAAGTGAGTGCTCTGACATCCCTGTAAAAACCTCCAAGACCAGCTAGCTAATGTTTTCCGAAAGATACCGCAACAAGAAGCACAACAAACATTGATCGATAAATCCGACCGACTCAGCTGAATTCAAGAGCTAATATTTACGATTTGTTTCACGCATTGCACTTTATCTAATTCACGGCGGGGCATTGTTTGGATTTCTGAGCTGGAGTTTTTTTTGGTTTGCATCGCATCGCAACATTAGCCTAATGATCTTACGGAATTACGGAAGCCATAGATGTATATTATAGTCAAACAATGGAATAGAGTTCTCAAATGATATATGAGCGCCTTGAATTGTCACTCAACATGCCATTGACACCGACTCCGATTCAATTATGCTATTTTAAACTCTAGAGCTTGGTGCCATCTTTGGAAAACCAGCAGATGATTTTTCTTCTTGTCAATTTCACATGTCAATAATATCCATGTACCTCCTTATAGGCTTTGAAGTGAGTCGAACGCCTTCTGCATTTTCACTACCTACCTATAATGGCGAGCTGGGCCCAAACCATTCTCTTGTAATCTTTCTGGACAAAATTTATAAGCAATTGTAATTTCATACTATAATTACAGACAAATGATCAAGAGCAATTTCCTCAAAACCAGTCAGGTATTACTCTTGCTCAGCACCTCCCAAAGCTGTGCCTTGGCTTTTTAGATCACCTTGCCCTATTTCCTCAGGTCACAATGGCTCAGCCGGTTTCAACAAGCTCCTAAAGGCCTCTTGAATCGAAGGGTCAGCTGGCTCATAATATGCATGAGGTTTAGACTGGTAAGCGAGATTACTTACCGAACCAGTTCTCAGCGTTAGCAATGATGGGCGAAATAAAAGATGTCAAAGCGATTATTTGTCCGAAACCGAACTGCATTTCCCCATTCTTGTCTTCCTCTGTCATAAATTTGGTGGCATCATCCCTAAGGATCAATATTGTGCAAGCTTCCCAAATGAAGAGAACTAATAATGGGGTTGATATGTAGGCATGAAAGGGCTGTGCCCAGGCCCAATACACTGAAAAAGAGCAACCCCAAGCAACAAGGCCAATGGCTTGAACAATAAGAAGACATGCTATTCGCAGGCAAATAAGAACGATCGAATAGAAGTTTCGAGTACTCAAGGACGGCATTTCACCCTTTGCCATCATAATGCGACTCCAGGGTTGATTTAGAAAACGGCTGGTGTGGTTGAGCGGTATTGTGATACAATAGTGAATCCGTGAGATATTTGTCCGGCTTAAACATATAGTTTGCAAAATCAAGCAGAGCACGGTATGCAGCCGTAGTGCGAGGAATATTGCGAACTCTGTCGACTTTTGAGACCGATACGCTGGCTGAGAGTAAGCCTCCTCATTCAATGCCAAGGTATCGTCTATTCTAAAGAATAGATACAACGTCATAATAAGAAGGCACCAAATAAAGATAGCCCGGACAATATTTCTTTTCAGGTTTGAGCCCATAAAAGGATTTGCAGTTATTGAGAAACCTGCCCTAGAGGATACTAAGTTAAGCCAACATATCGAGTGACTAACCCGGTAATGATAGACGAGAATATCTTATTTGGCTATAGCAGCTACAGCTGTGGCAATGCCGACCGACAGTTGGATATCAGCAAGGCTGAAAATCGTCGCATCTAAAGCTGAAGGGCGATCGTTGACAGTGCCGAAGCCTATCAAATCTTTCGGGTCCCTGACAGCCATCCACTGGCCTAATATTGCTATTAAGATGGCCCGTGGACGAAACGGAGTGACCGATATAATTTTTCTCATGAATTCGTATTCCCTTTTGATGAGAATCAACAGTATTATCAAGGCCCCAACAGCAATGCTGGAGCTGATAATACCAATCCCAGCCACATCGGGATCTGGCTTAATGTGTTTCATGTTGTGATGCCCGATTGTCTTGAAATAGAAGTTATGGTAGTATAAAGTATAAAGGTAGGTAGAATGATAAATCAGCCAGAGAGAGACGTTGACCTGTTCTTATACGGCAAGGTGGCTAGCGGGTCAATAGCTTCTCAGCTCACAAGACAGTGGCTTTGTTATTTGCATCAACTTCTTAATTAAGCCACTGGCAGCTGTTTGAAACCTTGTGGCTTAGTATCCCGTAGATCTAGGCAAACAGAATCGATCCGTTGGCTTTAGTCTTACATTGCACAGCTCAGCTCATGCAGTAAGCAGCGGATCCAGTTGCTGCGCACTCTAACAAATGTGTGTCATAAATGATAAGGCAAACACGTGCTACTATATCATTGGCTGTTCATAGACGATCAGCTGTTAACGCCAATCAAGATTTTGCACTTTAGTCAACTAAGTCAGTTACCACATCACCTGGAAGTAGGCGAGGCAAACGCAAATTATCCTCAGAGATGCGGCTGACAATGCTGGCCCCAACAACGAGTGCCCTCTGCACTCACCGGGTGGGTTATGGTCGGACTACTTCAACGGTGCGTATTAATAACAATTCTTAAGGAAGATTCGAGTCAATACTTCAAGTTCGTGCATACAGCGGAAGACTGTTTTCTCTCTTACAATCTCAGTTCTAATAGAGAGTATAATATCTAAATCTTAAAAGTTACTAGTTTATTCACTTTCTGCATTATAACTTATGAATCCTTATAGATATTTTCTATAATATATTCATTTTCTAAATATAAACTTCTCCATCTACTAAATAACTGCTCAGCTCAGTCTAAGAACAATATATTTATATATATATTCTTCTCTAAGACTGCCTTCCTATCTCCGGCTTAAACAACTACTGCAGCCTGACTTATATCCTTACAAGGTTAAGAATTGAACTTCCTCCATACAGAGTACTTTTCAAAACCATTAAGGGGATCATCTTTAACCCCTTCCCCTATGTATAGTGACTTCTCGGACGGTCGATAGAACCGCAAGCAAGATGGTTGAATTGAACTAGGCTGGCCAGGAAGAGTGAGGGCGGTGCTCTTTCTGGCAGGTATAGAGGCCCCTCTAAAAACCATCCAGTTTATCTGCGAATCCACGGAGGAGGAGTAGGAGGTCGGGGAGGTCGGGGAGGGGGCTTCACCGGTTTTGGTCCAGGATTATTTGGCCTTGTTCCGCCACGGGCATAGAGGTTCCGACGCTGTAGATCTCTATCTACTCTATCAAGACTGCGAATCCACGCAGGAGGAGTAGGAGGTCGGGGAGGTCGGGGAGGGGGTTTCACCGGCTTTGGTCCCGGATTATTTGGCTTTGTTCCGCCACGGGCATAGAGCTCCTCCAATATGTCACGAGCATCCAACCCGTTATCGATACCGCGGGCAATAATCTGCTCATAATCGTCTCGGGCAGCAAGGTCGTTAGATGTACCATCGAACTGGGCAAGTCCGGAAGGAACAAGGCTGAGGCATAAGACAGCAGCTGCCCCCAAGTGCTTGAGGGCGACCATTGTAAGACTGAGATTAGCTCTCAGCTAAAGAAAAAGAATACAAAGTGAAAATCAAAGGAGTAAAGGAAAAAGAAAAGAGAGATTATTTTAATATATAAAGACTGTTGGGTTAATATTAGTACAAGAGGGAGTAGGAGCTACATGAAATAGTTTTCCTCATTACCATGGGTAGTAAGATGAAGGTATCCTAGTATAGCATTCCGCAATAACTGAGCATGGAACAACGGCTAAGCGTTTCTGGTAATATCCGCAAGTAAGTACCGCTTCGGTAATGCCCCTTGCTGAGGAAGCGGCAGATTGTGACCTAATACGGTCCCGACAACCATTCAACCGGATTCAACGAAATAACAGGCTGGTGGGTCAGTCAGCTTACACACTCCGTCCTTGCTGGGAATGCGCATCGAGACTCCAGTCAGGTCCACGCGTTGGTCAGGGATTTGGATCCATAGAGCCACTTTTGTGTGCATGAACTGATGAAGCCCTGAGATGTCAGATATATCGTCTCAAGACTCAGACTGGTAGGTGACAGGCTAGAGATGCGCAAAAAGCAGAGACCAACGAAAACTCCCCGACGAGGAGAAGAGTAACAGTGCTATTTTTGGGCCCGACCCTTCCTAACGAGGTGAATTACAGCGACGATGCTCCAAGAATAAGAACTGATCCTGGCTCAAGCTTGTCTGTCTTACCCCAGCGGCTAACTTCAACCTTTATCCCTGGGGTTTGAAGCAAGACAGATCTCTGGGGTTTGACGCAAGACAGATCCCTGGGGTTTGAAGCAAGACAGGATAAAGTCTTTGGTTCCTCAACCAAGCAACTACTCTCCATTCTCACAGATTACACCTAGAAGCTGGTCTCCTAGACTTTTACCACTGCCCACTCATTTGAATATTCCGACTACTTCACAGCCCATTCTGTCATCTATCTTAAAAATGGTCGCTATCCAGAACCTTGGCCTGGCGGCTCTCGTGTGGCTCGGCCTCGCTAGCCAGGGACTTGCCATGGGCAACTATGAGGGGGGGCTTTATGCCCGCGCACGCAACAATCCAGGCTATCAACCTGATGCTCCCGTCCGTGGCGGTGGCCACACTAGGCCACGAAGCATTGATGACTATGAGTACGAGCTCTTTACTCGCGCACGCAATAGTCCCGGTTATCAACCTGCTGCTCCCGTCCGTAGCGGTGATCACAGTGGACCACGAAGCATTAGCGAGGGTGGGCTTTACACCCGCGCACGCAACAGTCCCGGCTATCAACCTGATGCTCCCGTCCGTGGCGGTGGCCACACCAGGCCACGAAGCATTGGTGACTATGAGTACGAGCTCTTCACCCGCGCACGCAACAGTCCTGGTTACCACCCTGAAAACCCCGTCCACAACCACCCTGGCCAGCGCAAGACTCGCGACCTGGAGGAGCTGGAGGAGTAAGCAGAGTCAAGGAGCCATATAATGCAGAAGGCAGATGCTGAGGGTGACTCGGGAAATACAGATCATAGGAAGCTAAGATTGAATCGAAACGATTCTCAGGATGTTACAACATAGCTGGCGTCAATAGCAGATATGCCTACCTGCATTGAGAAAATACTCGGCTAGAAAAGGAAGGCTCAATTGACTTGCTGCTCAAATGATGGAAGAATTGCTGCATCGAACTTTGCTAAATCAAATGAAATGTCAGGAGAGGAACCATTCGCAGACTGCGAAGAAAACTACTACTGCTGTCAGGTCTAATAGACTGAAGATATGGACCTGAAAATTTCAATCTGGCCATAAGACGGGCGATGACGCCTTGATCATTGGATAGTTTGAATTGCTAGTGCACCGGATGAGCCGACAAACTGTCAGTATTAACACCAAAGCCAACTGACAAGATTTTATTAGCGGATTCTTATTTAATATCGCTTGCTCTCATTACAGGCCATAACCTATTCATTTTCCCCTACGTCGCATATACTGTTGTACAGTCAGCTTCTGTCATTCTCAATTTGAATGCAGGCGAAGCGTCGCTGAATATGTTGACGAGGTGTATCCGTGGTGGAAAGAGAGTGTTGTAGACATGATGCGGCTTGCCTGGATACATCTACGCTAGAACCTCAAAACGTCCTTGCTGTCACGCATATATGGATGAATCAATCGCCCAATGATTGGAGTGGGTGGGTGTCGGAAACGGCAATCTCAAGCTACTCGGGCGGATGGTTATGTTGCACACATGTTGGCCACGGCGCTTCTCTTACAACCCTTGTGGGGAGGTAGAAATTGCTGTGCTTTTGCCCTTCTCCTCCTCCGATCACACCTCAACATATGGCGCTACAACCCTTTCGGAGAGGTAGAAATTGCTGTGCAGCTGAGATTTGGCCCCCAACAACCTCGTATCTTGCCCAAAGAGGAAACATACGAGAATGACTAACCAGAGCTTCGCCGTTTCAAGGCAACAGTCGAGGAAAAGTGGACACATCAAGGATCTGCCGTACCTGTCTCAAAGAGGAAACACACGAGCTTCCTGTATACCATCAACCTTGATTTAAATCGAGATGGGTAGACATCGATAATCTCTAGCTTGCTCTCATGATTCTACGAACACTGTTTCCCTCGTTGATTTTCCTAATTCTAACATCTACATAGTTTGGTTGCTGTTTACATTCCCCAAAGGCCCGAGTTTACTCTGTCTCTCCTCTATATCCCAAGCTCTCAGCATCATAATTTATTTTCCTACCTAATTTTCCTCCTTTACATGGGACCCAGCTACAAAGAACAGCAGAGAATCATGGCGGAAGACGCAAAGTCGGCGTCCGAACTGACGCCCGAGACCAAACCGAAGTCTTCTGAACGAAAACCCGCGTTCTCAGACTACCTCAGAGTCTTCACCTACGCCACCAAGCCAGACTACTTCTTCTACACCGTCGCATCATTAGCCTCCATCGGAGCTGGCATCACGATGCCTCTAATGAACATCATCTTTGGCCAGCTCGTCGGCCAGTTCACCGACTTCTTCCGAGACTCATCATCCATATCTCAAAACGAGTTCAAGCAAATCCTCAACAAGCAAGCTCTCTACATCATGGCACTGTTCTTTGTGCGATGGGCCCTGAGCGCCATCAACAAATTCTGCTTCAGAATGATCGGCATTCGTCTGTCGTCTGCTATCCGCCTCCACTACCTCGAGTCGCTCTTCGCGCAGCCCATCCATGTGATCGATTCCCTTCCCGCGGGCGCACCCGCCACCGCCATTACAGGAACTTCGAATACGCTCCAAATCGGTGTCTCGGATAGGCTGGGGGTGTTTCTACAATACATGAGCACGATCATATCAGCACTGGTCATCTCTTTTACCTGGAGTTGGGACCTGACGCTCGTGACATCGTCCTTGCTGCTCTACCTAATAGTCCTACTCTGCATTTTCATGCCCATCCTTATAAAGGGACAAGCCGCAACTCTCAAGTCGGATGCCCAGGGAAACTCGGTTGCTAGTGAGGCACTTGGAGTGATGCGACTGGTCATGTCCTGTGGTGCGCAGTCTCGCATCTTCTCCCGTTATCAGAGCTGGGTCATCAAAGCAAAGAAAGAGGGACAGAAGACTGCTCCTGTCGTCGGCATGCAGGTTGGTGGTATGGTAAGTCAAATTCATTGCATTCCGTTAGTGGATCTGTCCTGATTTCACATGTTGACCTGCTTATCGCTAGTTCTTCGGAGTCTTTGGCGCATTTGGCTTGGCTTTCTGGTACGGAACTCAGAGATACGCCTCTGGCCACATCAGCAACGCTGGAGTTGTCGTTGTCGTCCTCATGTCGGTCATGCTTATATTCAACTCTGTGGAACGCATCTCGACACCTTTGATTGCGGTGAGCAAAGCTATGGTGGCTGCTTGCGAACTGTTTACTGTCATCGATGCTCCACGATCCCCGTTGGGAAGTCTCATCCCCGAAAATACTTCGGAGGACCTCATCTTTAACAACGTGGTCTTTGAATATCCCAGTCGGCCAGGCGTAAAGGCTCTGGATGGACTGAACCTTCGCATTCGCTATGGTAAGAACACGGCTCTGGTCGGCCCTTCTGGATCTGGTAAGAGTACTGTCGTCGCTCTCTTAGAACGTTGGTACAGCCTACGATCGCATTATGCTCTACCAAAGGTGGCAGTGGGTCAGGGTCAGACAGAATCATCTGAAGACGAAAAGGCGGACCAGGTGGCAAGTGACCCTGAGGCACCCTCGGATCCGGCTCTTTCCGGGTCCGTTTCCTTTGGTACCGTTGACCTCGAGGACATTGATCTTAAGTGGTGGAGGTCTCAGATCGGCCTCGTTCAACAAGAGCCATTCCTCTTCAACGAAACCATCTTCAAGAACGTTGCGAATGGCCTCATTGGAACCGAGTATGAGGATGAGCCCGAGAGTCGGAAGCGAGAGCTAGTTCGGGATGCTTGCAATGAAGCATGTGCTCACGAGTTTATCGACCGTTTACCAGATGTATGTATACCATTTACTTTCGCACCCGTTCTTCCCCATGACATTACCCCAGTTCAATTGGACAAGTCGACACTAATATTTACCTAGGGATATGATACACGAGTCGGAGACGGCGGTGCCAAATTGAGCGGAGGGCAAAAACAAAGAATCGCCATCGCCAGAAGCATCATCAAGAAGCCCAAAATCATCATTCTCGACGAAGCAACCAGTGCAATCGATGTCCAGAGCGAGAAACATGTCCAAGAAGCTCTTGAGCGCCTTGTCAAGAACCACACGACAATCACCATCGCCCACAGACTGTCAACTATCAAGAAAGCTGATCACATTGTCGTGCTGAAGCGCGGTCAGGCTGTAGAGGAAGGCACTCATCAGGACCTTCTGAGCATTGAAGGCGGGGTTTACAGCGCCCTGGTTCGAGCACAAGCGCTTTTGGGCTCTCGTGAGGACGAAGAGGGGAGTTTATCAACAGACACCAAGGTTGCTCCTAGTGAGAAAACTGACAACATACCCGAAAAGGCACTTCATACAGTCCAGGTCGAAACCGGTCAGAGCAGTGACCCCACTCAACGAGATCGTGGATTCTTCTACAGCTTGGCATTAATGTTAAGCGAACAGCGAGCTCAGTGGCGAAACATGACAAACCTGCTTTTCTCGGCGATGGCGGTTGCTGCCGGTACCCCTCTCCAAGCCTGGCTCTTTGCCAAGGCGATCGCAGTGTTCATTCTAGAAGGCGATGAGTTAAAAGCGAAAAGCAACTTTTGGGGGCTCATGTGGCTTGCCCTGGCTGGCGGGTTTGGTCTTGCCTGGTTCTCTCAGACTTGGAACAGTGTACATCTACAGTACGGAATCAGCGCAGCCTACAAGCAGCAGTACTTTCGTGACATGTTGCAGCAGAGACTTTCCTTCCATGACGAGGAAGACAATGCTCATGGTACGCTGAGTTACCGCATCTCGAGCGACGCAAAGCAGCTGGAGGAGCTGTTCGGGCTTAACCTGGCTGCTGCCCTGACTGGCATATTTACCTTCACCGGATGCATCATTATTGCACTCATCTTCAGTTGGAGACTGGGACTCGTTGCCGCCTTTGCCACGATGCCAGTCATGGTTGGCGCCGGGTTGTGGAGATACCGCCACGAGGTTCAGTTTGATGCGATGAACTCTTCCGTGTTCAAGGAGAGTTCACTGTTCGCCACAGAGGCAATCGGCTCCATCCGAACTGTATCCTCGCTTGGGATGGAGCGAGTCATCAACGCCCGATATGCCAAGCTCCTCAGCGAGCATGTTCAGACAGCGCTCCGCAAGGCCCAGTGGACAGCACCTGTTTACGGATTTGCCGACAGCGTGAGCTTGGGATGCCAGGCACTGGTATTTTGGTACGGAGGCAGCCTCTTAGCTAAGGGTGAGCTCTCCATGGATGCTTTCTTCGTCTGCTTCATGGCCATCATGCAGGGCTCAGAGTCATCGAGTCAGATTCTCTCAGTCTCGCCCGACTTCGCACAGGCAATAGCAGCGGCGAACCGCATCCGGAGCGTTCATGAATCAGCGGTTCTAAATGAGAAGATGTTCGAGAGTGGCTCTGGGCAGAGTGAGGACCTCAGTGGAAATGTTCGGCTTGAATTGAAAGATGTGTCTTTCAAATATCCTACCCGAAATATTCCCGTTTTCGATCATCTCAATCTTTGCATTGAGAAAGAACAGTACGTGGCTTTCGTTGGACCATCTGGATCCGGAAAGACGAGTATCATTTCTCTCCTTGAAAGATTCTACGAGCCTAATCAGGGTGGAGGTAAAATTCTTTGCAATGGCGTGGATATCAAAGACCTCAGTCTCAGCAAGTATCGGAGCATGCTTTCTCTTGTACCCCAGGAGCCGACGATGCTACAAGGAAGTATCAGGGACAATATCCTCTTCGGCATTGCTGACCCAGAGTCAATCTCGAATGAGATGATTCATGATGTGTGCAAAGACGCATTCATCCATGACTTCATCGTCTCCTTGCCAGAGGGCTATGATACCGACGTAGGGCAAAAGGGCGTGTCCATGTCGGGTGGGCAGAAGCAGCGGATTGCCATCGCACGAGCTTTGATTCGTAATCCAAAGGTTCTGTTGCTTGATGAAGCCACATCCGCGCTTGACTCAGAGTCCGAGAAGATTGTGCAGGCTGCTTTCGAGAAAGCACGAAAGGGAAGAAGTATGATCGCGATAGCTCACCGTCTCTCTACGATTCAAGACGCCGACGTGATATTCGTTTTAGACCAAGGCCAGATAGTTGAGAAGGGAACACACTTTGAACTGATGAAGAAGAGAGGGATTTATTTCACCATGGTACGTACTCATCTCCCCTCGAGCCCGATTCTTGTATTATGCTAACTCGTCTGTTTCAAAGTGTGAAAGCCAGGCATTGGATCGCTAGTATCCTGAAGGAAAGGCATACATACTATCAACTTTGTATAATTGTAGTCCGATTTGTTTCATGTAACAAAACCCATCTCATGATATCAGTAGACACATAATAGAATATTCCCTTTTTGTATCATTCACCAATTCATATTTCAGAATCTATAGATTGTCATCGTTAATATTCTGCCATGTAGCTGGTTGCATACAACTCGCCGGCTAAGAATCCTCCAGACCCAGTGATCGGCTGCCTCTTCCATTCCACCTGCAAAGAACCATATCCAATCTCAGCCACTTCCTCCACTTTAGACCACTCTCCCGTCGTGTCGTCCTTGTCCATGAAACGAAACACGATACGATCACCGCCATCTTCGAACAAGAACTCACGACGCCAGAGCCGCTTCCACTGCTCTTCAAAACTCCCTTCAGAGGCATTGCGAAGCTCCATCGCCCTGTTCCTCTCAGCCAAGTGGTAGAGTGCCCGTGTATTCCAGAGCCCATCCTGGCCAGGGTAATCCCTCAGCATCCAGACCGCCTCGTCACGAGTGAGCGGGTCGCGGCAGAAGAAGGAAATCACGAGCAAATGCCAAGCCATATCGCACTGCAACGAGAGCTGCTGCGCGGGAGTCTTGGACTGCTCGGTGAAGGCGCGCACGGCAATGTTGCACAAGGACAGGTACTCTCGGTAAATTGGTGTTTGCTTTGTGGCGAGGGAATCGACATCGAGGTAAATCGCCGGATCGTTGACGAACTGGACGCTAAACGAGAGCAGCTGGAGGCGGAGGTGGATGGCCCTGATGTATGAGGGTGATTTTTTGTCAGACATGACCAGTCGGTCGAAGAGAGGACGCGATGCTCGGTCGATCTTCTCCATGTTCTGTGATGTGCTGTTTGAAAACTCCTGGATTTGGTTGTCACGCAGGATCTTGTATATAATATCGGTGATGATGCCTTCAACCGGCGTGTTCAAGAAGTCTTGGCCTTTCATAGCGTCCTTCATAATCTGCCCCAAATTGGTATGTGTGACCCATAATGCCGAGATGTACTCTTCAAATTCATCAAGAGTGTCGAAAACGTCTGGAATGTTGTCGAAGTCCAAGGTCGGGTGTGTCAGCAGCCCGAGCCGCAGCATGAAAGTCTCGACATTTGACTCCAAAGTCTTGAGTCCAGTTACTAGATTCGGTAGAGACGGGCCGTCACTGATTCGCGAGAAGAGGATCGAGTAGGCTTGCAACGCCAGGCGGCGGAATATATCGGCGATGGACCCAAGCACAGACTTTGGATTGGGCCCAAGCATGTTGAGAAATTGATATCCATCCTTTCCGCTTATCCAGTTCAGCAAGAGGCATGAGCCATGGTTGAGATGGCTCAGGGCAGTTTTCCTGTTGTCCTGGAGCGTCTCGAAGAAAATCAGCAGCAGCGATAAAAACAAGGCATCCTGTACAGAGGGCTGCTCCCGCTGCACTCTCAACGATTTGCCGTAGTGAGAGAGGGCGTGAAAGTAGTGCGAGTCTCTGTCTACGGTGAGAAGGTCTGGTCGTCGCTTCGCTGCTCTCAACGACTCATGTGCGGCTTCACGGTGCCAGAAACTCAGTGCTCCAATAGCCATCGCCGCATGGCGGAGAGGAGCGCTGTGATGGGCAAGCTGTGGCAGTGTGACCTCCCACAGCTCGTTGTTGAAGGCAGAGTTGGTCCATGACCCTTGTGCCAGTGTGATGAATTCTCGAAAGTACCGCACACCCTGGTCGTCCTGGATACCAAGAGTATCAGGGTCCAGTCGTACCTGTAGAGCTGCTGGGCTCGAAGGAGAGGCGCGTGTAGGCCTAGTCTTGGAGTTCGAGTTCCAACAAACGAGGGCAGGGCCTTTGGGCCGCTGGGCGGTATATCCTCCGCATTGGCGGTGGGCTCTGGTGCAGTTGCGACAAGACGGTTTGCCTTCGTCGCATTTCACCCGGCGCTTTTTGCAGGTGATGCAGCCAGTGCGGACTTTGTGCGTGCTTGTTCGAGAGCGTTTCTCCTTGTCTTTGCCAGGGTCACGACTCCCAAGAATGACCAGGCCTTGCTCCCACTGCTGCGCCTCCAGGGCGTGTTCTAGGAGTATGGCATTAGTCAATAGGTCCGAGACATAGATCAATACTGAAGAGATGCGAATACCTTGTACGGTCATCGGGGCATAGAGCTGGTGAAGCTGGGAAGGTCTAGTCACGCTGTGGTTGGAGTTGTTCCCCTTGGCATCAAGCCTGTAAGGAATTGAATCAAGGATCCATCCAGTGGCCACAAAGAAGCCAAGCCTCCCTGATCTCTGTCAGCATCACGTGCCATCCGCTTTGATCTCACCCACCACAGCTGACTGAGGTAACGATTTCCATTGTGTCGCGCACCGAGAGGCAAACTGAACAGTTTGCGCCAAGATGTATGACAAAAATTGCTCACCGTTATGGGATTTGTGTGTTTCGAATAACTCCAGCTGGGCAATGTAGGGTCGAATACCTGCGTTGTTGTATTGTGCACAACCGCCTCATCCACACGCGTTCTTTATAAGATCACATTCTAATCCCTTCAATTTTTTAAAGAAAAAAATAATAACTTCTCGGTTTCAATAAGCCTGAAATTTCTGGTCAGGGTGTCCAATTCAATAAAATGAATTCACCTGGACGTATCCCGATATGAGACAGTGTGAATGGGTTAAACATGAACCTTCTTAATGTCTTTCTAGACAAACAACCATCTCTATCTTACTTCTCACTGTTCATAATCATATCACAGCCAGCAATTAGACTCACTAAAAGTTGGTCATTCCCACGCGAGATACAACACCTTTTCTTCTGTAACGAGTAGGTGGTATTTGAGTTGTCAAGCAGCAGAGTTTCAAGCATTTACCATACTTCATACCAGTTCTCATACCAACTCTTGAGATTCACTTCCTCCGGCTTTCGGAGGTACCATGTAAGATCCTCTTCCTTGTTCTTCTCCTTCTTGCTCCATCCATTACCTAGCCATGCGAAGCGGTTTCCCGACCTAGAGAGATATGTATATTCGAAATCCTCCCACCGCGGATCAAACCTGACATATCTCTCATGCGAAGCACTTCCTGGCCAATGCGCATGAATCCTTGAACCAGGTTGCCCACTGTTGTGCCAAGCACTGCAGTGATCCGTGAGATAGGTTTTGGGGAAGAAGGCGTCCGAGTATTCAACAAAGTCGTTTGCGGCCTGTCGGCTCGGCGTGATGGTCCGGATGCCCTGGCTGGAGATCTTGCGCAACACTTTCGCAATGTATGTGACGTAGTTTTCTGCCGTTGATGGGACTGTCCCCGAAACACCAGCGCTGTGCGGCCCAAATATGAAGAACAGGTTGGGGAAACCCGGTGTCCCCACGCCCATGTATGAGTACGGCCAGCCAAAGAGGCCGTCAGGTTTCCAGGCCTCGCGAAGATCGACGCCTCTAGCGATGACCGAGTAAGGTGTTGCAGATTCCACGTTGGCACCAGTTGCACAAAATATAGCGTCAACATCGCGTTGTTTCCCATCGATAGTCTCTATACCTGTTTCTGTGAACCTCTTGATCGGTGTTTGGATAAAGTCCACGTTTTCTTCGCAAAGGGCTTCCAAATAGCCAGGGGCGGGGGTCAGTCTTCGGCAATGTGGTGCAAAGTCTGGAATAAGCGAATCGAGAAGCTCTGGTTTCTTCGCCACCCTTTTTCTCATGACTTCGAGGTACTGTTGCTTTGCTTTCGAATTTGTATCAGAGTTCCTGAACAGAGCATCGAATCTGCGCCAGTATTGATCTTCCTCGCCCTTCCTATAGGCAAGATACTTGTCGGCATCATCTTTGAATGACTCTCGGAGATCGGATGGGATGGGCTGTGCCTCCAGTTTCCTTTCGTTGTCTCCCGTGTAGGCACCAGCAATCCACGTCTTGTTACGTGCGTAGTGATCTAATCGAGCTACATGTGGCTGCAGGTTTGGCACAACTTGTAGACCGCTCGCTCCATTGCCTATTACCGCAACCCTCTTATCTTTGAAGTCGAAGGAGGGATCCCAGTTAGATGTATGTCGCACAAATCCCTTGAAGGCTTCCAACCCAGGATAATCCGGTAGACGCCAAGCAGTGAATCTACCATGAGCTGTCAAAAGCACATCAAATTCATCAGTCCTCTCGCCCGTGGCGGCATGTCTCACTTTCACCCTCCAGACGGCATCATCATCACTCCAACGAGCTTCGATGACCTCTGTCTCAAACTTGCAGTATTTGTAGACATCGCGCTTGCGGGCCACCTCTTTCCAGTATGCCAAGATCTCTGCTCCTTGGGCATAGACTTCTGACCACTGCGAGTTGGGCTCTATTGAGCTCTGATAGACGTGAGCTGGCACGTCGCACCGCACGCCAGGGTAAATATTATCGTACCAAACGCCTCCCTGTAGTGTTTACAATCAGTTTCGGCACTAATTCTTCTCATATCCGAACTGTATGGAATCCTTCACTCACCACATCTTTCTTTTGCTCGTAAATTGTCAAGTCTATCTCCGGAACCTTTGCAGGAAGGAGAATCCCAGCTGTGATCCCGGCAATGCCAGCTCCAATAACCCCAACCTAGATGATGTCAGATATCAGGTATTACGTGGATTCAGATCATATTTACTCGGAGGCGCCTTCTTTCATCCACGGGGTGGTCTTCTAGCTGAAAATGCGTTCTAGGATAACCTGAGCGAGGAGGTGGCGGCCCTGACTCATTCGGAGCACCGTCAACCACCCCTGTTCCATTCTCAAAGGCTGGCATGGTTTAGTTCCTTGGAGAGGGATCGTCTCGGCTAGCAGAGTGAGCGGTGTAATTCGATAACTTGATTTGTTCAAACATCAACGTGGCTAGGGGTTGGAAGCTAATCATAATACTGATCCAAGTCCTCGGGAGGTTTCCAGGGCAGGGGAAAGAGGATTACAAACCATCACCTCCGGTAACGCAGCAAAATCACCTTGCATTAATGATACTGCTACTTGCGTTAGAATAGGGTCAATGATGTGATCCGGGCTATGAGGAGCTATCACCGACTGCTTCGTTATTCTAGTGTTATTTCCGAAATCTGGAGTCAGGACCCTAGTTTCTCAAGACGAGGGGTCCATGAACAACGACATCATCAAGGCAAATGACGACATTCGTAGCACAACCTATTGCATGTTAACTAATAGATAAGAAATGAACAGTTTAGCTCTCAATTTTCTCGTGGACCACCCATGTTTGAAAAAGAGTATTACGACCCCTACTCCACCTTCTAACCAGTTAACCTCCAGATTACAATTCATCTCAACTTTTGTAACCAAACTAAGCGTGTACGTCAACATCTGGGCCAGTGTACAACTGCCCTCTCTGCTCTGCTTGAATACGCTCCTTTTGGACCCGTCTCACGTCTTGCTCCAGCTTCTGGGTCAGATACCAACAGAGAAGGCAGCCGAGAAGCCCACCGCCAATTGTGGCCGTACAGATAGAGTAAGGAACTCGGTACCCATCAGCTGCATAGCGGGACTGGAATATCTGTGGGCCAATAACACCGCCCAGTTGGCCCACGCCACTCTGTAGTCCAAAAGCGAAGGCAGTCCCTGTCGTGCCCTTAAGACTGGACGTTCGCCCTATGTTGAACATGGTTAGCGTTTCATCAGTTTGAATTGCCACTGACAAATACAGAGGAGGTTCCTTACATGACCAGAACGGGATGGCAAAAGCGGCTGAGAACAATGTACCCAAGATGCAGGCAGCATAGATTGCGCCACGCTCTCTTGTGGCGATGAAGATTGCAAAGACGGCCACTTCAAGTACGACAACTACCAGATATCAGCTTTAATCCATGCTTTGGAAAATTGTGCTACTTACTTGAGATGGTGAAAATGGGCCTAGGAATCCAGGCTTTATGCAGGATGTACGCCGCGGCAGCAATGGCCAAGATCGCAACCGTAGCTGTTGGCTAAACATGGAATATTAGATAATTCTCGAACAATCATAGGAGAAATATACTGACAATCAGCAGCAAGATATTTCGAGGCAGTCCAACAAATCCAAGATTGGTGATAATTGTAGGCTGTACAGGCAATGATTAGCACTTGGCTTACAAAAAGCTTAGAAGATTCGCCTACCAAAAACCAGCTCAGCCCAAAACCGCCCGTGTTCATCAGCACCTGTGTAAGCATAAAAGCCCACAGGCGTGGATCTTTCAACGTCTCTACGGACTCTTTGCTGGAGAATGCGGCGTCGGAGGTCACAGGAGCATTTGATGTCAGTCTATACTCCACAAACTTCTGTTCTCTTGGAGTGAGCCATTTGCCTGTGCGCTCTGAGCGAGGGTAGTCTGGGCAGAGGAACCAGACCAAGAAAGCAAAAGCCATTGTGGCCACACCCTGGAGTAGAAATACCCTACCATTTCTTAGCAAGCAGGTTCAAATAAGCAGAGAAGAGACCTTACCATTGCCAAGAGCTGAGACCTTGTCTGCCGTCGAGGAATGCTATCCCATAGACGATCAATGATCCAATTACTCCGGCAAGATTGAAAATGCCAAAGAGCCATGCAATTGGCTTTCCCATCTCGTCCGAACGATACCAGCTGCAGAGCTGAGTCATGATTGCGGGAAAGAGACCGGCTTCCATAAGTCCAAGAAAGAAGCGTGCAGTCAGGATGCCGGCTTTGTTGTTAGCGGCAGCGTGGCATGCAAGTACCAGCCCCCATAGAAACATGATTCGTGCCTGAAAGATTCTCGGGGTCCATTTCTTGAGTAAAAGGTTGCTTGGGAGTTCGAAGATGATGTATGAGATCTGCAATCGAATTAGTTTCTGCTTCCTCATCAGAGCTTAAGTACGATAAACCTACGTAGTATATAGACTGAACCCAATTATACTCATCCGATGTCATGTCCAGTTGAGTCAAAATATTTGTTGGCTTGCCTACCGCAAGAACTTTAACAGCTGCAGCGTTATTGACATCGATCTGTTCGAGGATTAGCTGGGTGACGTAGTAATGTACTATAGTCCAAGTGACATACCTGCTTTACCATGTAGATCACGCCGAATAAAGCCAAGAGTCGATAATCGACCTTTCGCATAATCGCCTTCTCCTCCTCTGGGCTGAAGGTGGAGAGAAATGTAGCCCTATCCTCATGGGAGGATCCATCTTCTGCGTTTGGATGGACTTCTGTGAGAGTAGGTTCAACACCTGCTTTAGCAACACCAGCGGCAGCGGTATCAGATTCACTCGGTGTTTCTGCCATCTCTGAAATTCAGGTTTTCGACAAACGTATAACGATTCCATTCACTTCTGCCCAAGTTGCATACCAAATTGGGGTGCCTTAGCGAGCTTTTATTCGCCGTTAGATCTACCGGGATGTCTAGAGGGTCCATTCCGACAGTCCGGGTTTGGATCGCGCGATCACCCGTGAGAGTGATGCAATTCAATAATGGGCAGGTCCCAAGCCCTCGGAGAAAGAATAATAAACGGATGTATCCTTGCATAGCGCAAGCCTAGATAGACCCCATGGCTGGTGGAGCGTCCGACATCGGTTGCCACGAGGCAATTGGTTTTCCACTGGACAGACTGATGGATTTAATTAAAGATACACGGGGCCATTGAAGTACACCTATCCTGGCCGTATTATTGAACCTCCCAAGAATCCCTTCGACTTGCGCAAACATGGTCCTCACAGTTGCAATCATTGGGGGCGGGATCGCCGGGCTCAGTGCAGCCATTGCTCTCAGGAAACTTCCCGGCGTCGATATTCAGGTGTACGAGAGAGCAAAAGAATTCAAAGAATTGGGTGCTCTTATCGGACTAGCTCCTAATGGATTGAGAACCTTGGAGAAGCTAGGGGTGGAAGATGTTCTTACGGACGAAGTTGGTTGGAGAAGTCCGAATGGAGTTCCTATGTGCTTCAAGTAAGAGTGTCCGCCTTTTTTTCTCGACTAACAGGTGTCTCTGCAAGATCTCAGAAATTAGCTTGGATATATAAAGACTAATGGAATCAAGGCACTTCAAGACAGGCGATGTGTTAAGCGTCGACTACAACCATGACGTTCCAGATAGACGACATCAATTTGCTCGAATGCACCGTGCTAGTCTCCAAAAGGCTCTTTTGAAGAATCTTCCACCAAACATTCTTCACACTGGCAAAAAGGTCTCTATAGTGAAGACCAATGATGATAGTGCCACAGTCGGCTTTGAAGATGGAACCTCCGTGACAGCTGACCTCGTAATCGGAGCCGATGGAATCAAATCGGTATGTGTATGAACTCCCTGATTTATGTTAACCATTATGCTCAAAACTCTGTAGAAAGTTCGAGAATCGTTCATCAAAAATCACAAGCTTAGCTCCTCCGGCGACGCGATCTTCCGAACAACATTTGCCTACGACTTAGTGGCAGATCTTCCTGGGCTTGAACAGAACTCAACTCATTATGTGAGCAAGAGATCCGGCAATGGTATCAATGACATTGAGCTGATAAATTCCTAGCAAAGCCCAACTTCATGGTTTTTCGGAACAAGACTAGGTAGATGACCCCTACACAATCGTATCAATGTGTTCGATCACTAATCTCGCCAATTAGGATCGGATCAATTTGGTGTGACTTGCAGTTTTCACGTTGATGAAAACGATTCAAGTTCGAAGTTTGCAGACACAACTTGGAACGCTCCGGCCACTGTGGATGACATTCGCAATGTCTTCAAAGTAAGGGGCCTAATCTTCGTAATGGTTCTCCGTGAGGCTAACCAAAATTCTCCAGGACTTTTACTCTCCTATCCCATCAATCATTGATAGAATCCCCGAAGGCACTTTGAGAAGGTACACCAATGTGGCTGGAGAAGCCCTTTCCCACTGGACCTTTGGGAATCGCGTTACTCTGATCGGTGATGCAGCTCACACGCATGGTGGCGCGTATGCAGCAGGCGCGTCATTAGCTGTGGATGATGCATACGTGCTCTACCTTTCGCTACGAACTATACTTCAGGGAGGAGTTCAAGACCAAGAGAAATTATCAGCTGCGCGTATTGGAGAAGCACTTGCCCTTTATGAAGCAACTCGCCGCCCCCATCTAGAGAGAGTGTTGAAGGAAGTGCACAGCGGGCGGAAGGCCCAAGCTGCCCGATTTGAAAAGATCCGGGAGGAGGGTGTCCCAGAGTCGGACGCCTCATTCAGGAAGAGACTGGCTTCAAAGGGTGATCCAGTCTGGCTAAATGAACATGATGCAGAGGCACAGTTTCACAAGGTATATAACAACTCAACCAGCTCACAAGCCAGTGTGGCTGAAGTGCGCCCCAAGCTCTAATGCAGGGTTAGCTACATTCTTAGCCTTTGTCTTCGGTCTTTTTCCTTTTAGAAAATAGAGTGTTCATTCATAGAAGAAAAGTCTATCAGGATTCCCTTCACGCACGTTGATTTTTCGGGCCACATAAGCAGGCTCTTTTTCTTGAAAATAATACATTGGTTGAGTTTATGGCTGAAACTACTCAGCAGCGAGAAGTAGACTCTCTGACCATGATGATATGCCCTAGTCCTCCTATTCTACTTATCTACATCTAGTTGGAGACCGTCTTTGTGCGGTCCTCTGTCTGCAATGATGTTGGCTCTTCATCCCCCAACTTTGCACCGATAGTATTTTGAAGAATCTCCCCCGCCTCGCCATCAAAGATGACGGCAATTTCTTCAAGAGCCTTTCCTTTTGTCTCAATGAACCATCCATAAGCCACGACAGACTCCACAGCCAGAACCGCCACGTAGACAATGTAAAACTTCCATCCAATGTTGGAGAGCCCGACAGGATTGACATACTGGTTGACGAACACGGCTATCTTAGTAGAAAAGACATATGTTGCCATGCCCTTGGCGCGGATGGAATAAGGCAGGACCTCGACAGAGTATGCGACCGGAAGCGGGGAGAATGCAATGCAGTAGAAGAACTGGTACACGAAAATGAGAGCCAGTACAGCTGTTCCAGCGGCCTTGAGCCCAGTCACCGCAAAACGCTCCGATGCAATGGTCCAAGCTGTGAACATGACAAGCATGCCAATGGTAGATATACGGAACAAAGGCCGGCGTCCGATTCGTTCGACGAAGAAGGCGGTGGTGAGGGCGATGAGCCAGTTCCAAATATTGATGAGGCCGTTGACGAGAGCCTGAGTGTTTTTGTCCTTGATGCCGATCGAGTCCATCACACGAGAAAGATCTGTTTTTGTCAGTTATCGATCTCCTACACGGTATTCAGGGGACTTACAGTAAGCGATCAAGCCGTTTCCAGACCACTGGCTAAACAGTCCCATACACAAGACCAGGAACATTCGGTAACGGTTACCTGATGTGCTGACCATTGACTTCCACGTCGTATTGCTCGATGCTTTCACCATAGTTAGCTTTTTGGACCATCAAAGGGGAGTTGTCCAGACATACCCTTCTCGTATTCGATAGCCACCTGAATCTCGGCATACTCAAGCTTTACTAGCTCGGATTCCTCCCCATCGCCGTGGTATTTTGCCAAAGCTGCCAAAGCTTCGTCTCCTCTGCCGTTGGCAATGAGCCACCTAGGAGATTCGGGGAGAAACCAGATAGCGCTAAGTTGCACGATACTGGGAGCCATCTGAAGAAGAGAAGGAAGGCGCCATGACCAGGTGTTCGGGATGTTTCTCGTTCCGTACGTGATCCACGCAGCCGCGATACTACCGAGATACCAGCTGCAGAAAGAATTAGCATATGAAACACATCAGATCAAGAAAACTGCCTCTCTTCATGACTTACCATGTATTGCAAATAGCTGTTATCGTCACTCTGTCCTTGGGATGAGACAACTCAGAAACCATGCTTGGCGAAGCAGTAGTAGCAAAGGATAATCCGAAACCAAGGACGAAACGACTGCCCACAAACATAGGGTATGAGGTGCTCTCGCATTGCAGAATGGCACCTGCAGTCATGATGATGCTGCCCACAGTGATACCCCATCGGCGACCGTACTTGTCAGCAACCCAGGGGGCGATTGGGGTTGAGCAGACGCTGCCGAGCGCCATAATGGCACTCATCAGGCCGAGAGACGAGCCACGAGGGTTGCCGAAGAAGTCGTCCCAGTACGAGACGGTCTGGAGGCTATTCATCATGCTGCCATCGTAGCCGGACGTTGCGTATGACACGACGCAGGCGGGGAAGAGAAGGAAGTATAGCTTTCGACGGGAGGAAGAGGCATACCAGGCCGGTGCCTTGGATGCCAGCTCGTTGATTGGCGATGGCTCTTGAGCGGTTGCCTGCGATTCAGTTGTAGTTTCGGTTGCCTGGCGCTTCGCCTGTCGAGCAAGCTGGTCATATCGAGGAGCCGGGAGGCGGTTGCGAAGAGCTGTGAGGGCCATATTTCAGATCCCAATAGCGAATACTCTCGAAGAAAAAGAAGCGAGATGTAGTAGGTAGGTAGAAGAACAAAATCAAGGTTTACTCAGACGCGGAGTGTTCCTATTTTGTCCTGAAAAGCCTCTGTAGAGTGATCGTCGTTGCAGGACGTCGCGGCAAGGGGTGAGATCTTATAGACGACCGGTATACGTAAAGTCTTGCGGCTATTCCCATAGATCGAGTAAGTTTGAGCACATCTATTCGACCGGCTATGTGTCACGAGCTGAAGCAAAGAGTTCCCAGAGCCATGGGCCATCCCGACAAATCGGGTGCAAGGATGCTCGACTCACGCGAACCAAATGAACATCCCCACACATCTACCAGCTGGAGCTCAATTGCGGAGACGAGAGCGTCCATGCGGGGGTTTCCATCGTCTGGGGACAGAAGTGAGGAGATTTTTGCATGACATCTCCGGGGGGAGGCAACAAAGTCTTCCCATTTTCCACTCAGTAGTTCGAACTCTAGGGCGCCATAACGGCAATGAGAAACGGGGACCCATGAGAGCAGCGAATCAGAAGCTGTATCGGGGGAACTAAAATGAAGCCCCGACGTTCCCCAGCCAAAGTCTTCGTCTCGGCTAAAGTCGTGAGTCGGGGCAGTGGTTTAGATGCCCCGAAGGTGGGTCGAAGCCTCAAAGGTATGGGTTGCCTCGAGTCAGCATGTCTTGTGATGCTCACGAGACCTAGTTTGCATGAGTTGAATCCATTCATCTTAAGGTCCGGTTTCACCGATTGGTCAATTACAGTTTCACGGTCAATGCCTAGGTCAAGCAACTAGCTGGGCAGCAATAATACGTCACAGGGGCCAGGTATATAGAAAGGCTGGACATCAGCCTTGCAACTTGCTCGTAATCAGTCTCAGGCCTACATCGTCAAGAGATTCAGACCACGATTTCACCATGACCGGACTGCTCCGAACTGATGGCGCTCGCATCATCGATGCGCAGGGAAGCCCAGTTCTTCTCAGAGGCGTACGACACTCTTCTCCCCCTATCCTCGGGCCTAATAGAAAAAGCTAACATGAAGAACTCCTCAGGCTGCCCTCGGCGGATGGATGATGATGGAAAATTTCATGAACGGATTTCCAGGCCGGGAGCATCAGATTCGACACGCATTGAAAAAGGTGCTGGGTGAGGAAAAGACAGAGTTCTTCTTCGACAAATTCCTCGAATACTTCTTCACAGACAAGGATGCCGCCTTCTTGAAATCGATAGGCTTCAATTGCGTGCGCCTGTGTCTGAACTATCACCACTTCGAAGATGATATGAAGCCCTTCCAGATCAAGGAGGAAGGCTTCAAGCACGTTGATCGTGTAATCGACATTGTAGGTATTCCTTCTCTCGAGCACGAGATGTAAATTCCAGCTGACAACTAAAAGTGTGCCAAACACGGAATCTACACGATCATTGACATGCATGCTCTCCCGGGTGGCCAGAATCAGGACTGGCACTGCGACAACCCGACCGGTCACGCCGCCTTCTGGGACCATATCCACTTCCAAGATCGTGCAGTCAACCTCTGGGAGCACATTGCGAAGCGATATCGTGGGAACGCCTGGGTAGCTGGCTACAATCCTATGAACGAGCCTGCAGACTCGGAATGGACCCGCCTGCTGAGTTTCTACGACCGCATCGTCCCAGCCATCCGCAAGGTCGACCCCGAACACATCCTTTTCCTCGAAGGCAATACGTAAGTAGCAGGGCATCAGTACCCCTTTGTTACTGGGGCATTCAGGCTGACCTTTTCCGCCAGTTTCAGCATGGACTTCACCGGCTTTGACAAGGTCTTCCCGAACTCAGTGTACGCCGTTCACGATTACTGCGGTTTTGGATTCCCGAATAGAATCGGCAGGTTCCAAGGTCACGCGGACCAAGAACAGTATATCCGAAGGATGTACGACCGAAAGGTTGCCTTTATGAAAGAGCACAATGTCCCCATCTGGAATGGTAAGATCAAGACCGTGGAAACCCCTCGGGTAGAATCATTCTAACTGTGTGGAAGGTGAATTCGGCCCTATATACGAGCGAAAGGAGAACAATCCTGACTGGGAACTCCACAACAACGAGCGCTACGACATGCTCGAGAGGCAGCTCGCCATCTACAGCGATGAGAGCATTGGTCAGTTACGATTTGTATAAGTGAAAGACACTCGGCTAACTTGCCGTAGCATGGTCAATCTGGTCGTACAAAGACATCAACGTCATGGGACTGATGTATCTGGCCCCTGACTCAGCCTGGTTCAAGCTGCTCGGCCCCATCATCCAGAAGAAGAGGGAGCTGGCTGTCGACTCATGGGCTTACGACGACGCCCACCTCCAAGACGGTCTCTTCGGCCCACTCCACAAATGGTTCGAGGACAATGTACAGCCGCCTTACAACAAAAAGTACCCGTGGCAATGGCGCATGCACATGCAGGTCTTCCGGCCGATCAGAGGCATCCTCCTCGCAGAATATCTGGTTCCCGAGTGGGCTGACTACTTCAAAGACAAGACTTTTGAAGAATTAGATGAGCTAGCCGCGAGTTGGAAGTACGAGAATTGCCATCAGAGGGAGAGATTGAATGAGCTCATGGGCACTTATGCGCCCATGACATCGGAAGATAAGAGGCTCGAGGGCAAGGTCATCAAAGCCGAGAAGACGTCCGAGTCCGCGGTGACCAGCGCAGACAAGTCTGTGTCTGGTGTCGGTGTATTTGAGCTCTCTCCAGAAGAGAAGCAGAAGGCCATCGAGAGCCAGAAACCTGTACCTGTAGCAGCATAAGGCAACAATTCAATAACATTGTCATCCTGTAAACCTTTTGCACCATGTCAAATGCTGTGCGGACAAATCCTAATCATAGTTCTCTTGTTGCAGTTATGAGTTACTACCTGCCAGTCTCGCCTTCCGTGAAATATCCAAACGT